GTAGCAGACCAACTATAGTAGGTAGGAGAATATCAAACTAGGATCTACAGGACAGGGTACTAAGGAGGAAAACACAGTAGGTACACTCGCATAAAACTCATACTCAGGATACCATGAATGTAAAGGATCAAGGCATCAAAGGATGTAAAGAGAAGAAATTCTTCAGTTGTCTACACACCAATGTTAGGGTAATAAAGAGGAATTAAATACTAATTTATTAAAAGAAATTTAAGACTGGTCTTACTGAAACCTGGTGGGACCATTCATGTGACTGGTTTGTCAGAATCACTGGATTCATCCTATTCAGAAAGGATAGAGTGGGTAGAAGAGAATAGGGGTGGTGGTACTTTACATTAAAGATACCATTACTGGCTTTAGAGTTACTGATAGTTCAGAAGGACAGGATCTGAAATGTTTATGCATCATGTACTAACTGATAAATCACAGGATGGGGGCACTACCAGGGGTGTGCTATAAACCTCAAATCAGATGAGCAGTTCTTTAAACATCTATGTATAACATGTAGAAAGAAAAATTGTTATTGTGGGAGATTTCAGTCTGTGTGACATACTCAAGGTCTGATGCTACCCCTAGTTTCAATGAATGGTATAGGTTCGATCTAGACAAAGATGATAAAATTATCAATCATGGTGTAGAAAAGGCAGAAGTATTCAACATATGCTTCTCTTCTATATTTAAAAAGAAGAATGATGTATTAATATTATACAGTGATAATGAAATACTTTCTATTCTATCAGTAGCTATGAAGGCTGGTAAATAGCAACTGCTAAACATGTTTAAATTTGCAGGATCAAATAACTTTCACATAAGAGTAGTAAAAGATTGGCCAAGGAGCACTTTAATGATTTTTAACAAATCATGGTACACTGGGAGAGTTCCTGAGGACTGGAAAAAGCTAATGTTGTTCCAGTATTTTAAAAGGAGTAAATCAGATGACCGGGGAAACTAATAGGTGAGTTAGCATAGATTCTGGGCAAAATCATGGAAAGGCTTATATGGGATGCAATCAGTAAAAATTTAAAAGATGGCATAATTAATGCTAGTTAATATGGTTTTATGGAAAACAGGTCTTGTTAAACAGATCATTTTTGGCAAATAAAGTGTTGGGGACACTGGGGCATGGCCACTAGGTAACTCGAGGGATGGAAGACCACGAGTGTTGATGAAGTCCCCTCGCACTAGGCCCAAGTATCCTTGGCCTCCTCCCTCCTGCCTGGAGGCACTCGCAGCAGCTCTGCGTACTAGGCCCAAGTGTCCTTGGGCCCCCCCGCCTGGAGGCACTCACAGCAGTTATGCTGAGGATCTGCAACAATATGTTGCAGAGTCAGACTGCCTGAAACTAAACAAGGCCAAACAGGGCAGATATGGAAGAAAAATGCTGAATAAAGCAGCTTTATGTATAGTTTAACAAATGATACAAAAAACAAGGGAACTAGCTGGTAACTGGATTGGCTGGCTGTATGGATACTTAGGGCAGCTTGCTATTGGATAAGTATGCTGAAGAAAGGATGTATAAAAACCTGTGTAACTTCCTGCTCTGTGTGCAGGATTTGAGATTCTATTCTCCCTGTACCTTTTTGAAGCTTCAAATAAACTTTTCTGCTTCTCCACCCCATTGTGATTGTTAGGGGGCTTATTCCTGGTCCTTCTCGCATGAACAGAGAGCAACAATACCCGAAGTCCAAAGGTGCAAACAATTCGATGTTTATTGGGGTGAACTTCCAGCAAGCATGATTCCAGTTTCCTTCCTTAGTATCCTCCTTCCCAGCTCTGACACCACAGAGCCTTACACCTGTGTCCCTGTTCCCATTCCTACTCTTAGCCAAACATGATTCTAACTTCCTTACTCCCATTCCCTGTTCCCATTTCCCCCTTTAGCAAAACATGATTGCAATTTCCTTACCCCCATTCCCTGTTCCCATCTCCCACCCCCACACCCACTTCCTCATTGACTACAGATTATATAGTAAAACTTGAGTTCTGCTTAGCTATACCTTAACCATCATTTTCCTGAAATTTAACTAACCAATCCTAACATATTGTAACATGATTATGTAACCAAGAATATCCCACCACCTTAATTAGTTTACACCCAGCAAAATTAATTATACAGCAGACAGGAACAATCACAGAACCAGACAGCTTATACAGACAAACAATAGCAAAGTGGGAACTATAATGACAAGACAATACAGAAGTGAGGATTTCACATCCCAGCTATTGATAAGTGAGTTCTTGCCAGATGGGATGCTATCAAACTAAGTTTCCTTTTACATTTTCTAGGCACTTCCCTTTCTCTGGAGGTGATAGGAATACAATCCTGTCCTGATAGTGCCTAACAGCCCAATAGCACCTTATTTCAGTGTGACTAGTTTGGAATGTGAGGATGTGACCGGTCGCTTCCCAGCTTATGGCTGCCTCTGCTGCTTAGCCAAAGGCCTTAGCCTAAGAACAGGGTCTCGGACTGTCACAGTAAGAGAAGACCCTTACACCAGCAGATAGTGATTTTGATTCTTTCTTTTATACCTCTATAATTAGCCAAGTGATAAGAATACACCTAAATTCTTAGAGTATAGGCCTTTACAGACAGGCCTGAATATGTATATCCTAACAGTGATTATTGGGTGAAGCACACCAGGTAGTGAACCAAACCCTGTTGTTGTTTTGCCTCTCGGCACTGGGTGCCGGCAACAAAGGTAACTGGGTTGACACAATATATGTAGATTTCGGTAACCCAGTTGACTAGCATTGGTCAAAAATTGTGTTCTTTTTTCCGTGCAAAATTTGGATTGTTTGACAGAAATTAGACTACTGAAAAATTTCAGCCAAAACCCAAAATATTTCAATTTATAAATACTGCTGCAGTGCTTCATGGGAGTTGTAATTCAGGTCTCTCATCCTCCTATTCTCATCCATAGGCTGGGCTCCCTCATCAGACTACATCTCCCATTTACACCACCTTTGGAGAGGGAAGGCAATGCATCAGGGCAGATGTAGTCTGGACAAGGAGCCCAGACCGAAAAGAAGAATGTGGTCATGAGGCAACCAAACTACAAATTCCATAAGGCATCACTTCAGCATTTCCAAATTGAAATATTTTAGGGTTTGGGTATGTTTTTTTTTTCCCCAGAAAAATCAAAATTCCATGTGGAAAGTAGACACTTTTTACAAAAATACTTGTTTAATCGAACATCCAGTTTTCCTTAAAAACTGCTTTGACAGAATATTTTAGACCAGCCCTACATTTGACTTAGTCCTACATGACATTCTGCACTGTATACTGTTCATTACATTAGCACTAGACAAAATCACTGCAGCCCATATTACATTAAAACTAGTCAACTGATAGATCACAAAAAATAACTGTAAATAGGGATATCATCCTATCGGGACTTTTATAGTGGGGGCCTGCTGGGATCTGTACTTGGCCCAGGGTTATTCACTATCTTTATCAATGATCTGGAAGAAAATATAATTCCTGTTAAATTTGCAGATGACACAAAAATTGTTGGAGTAATAAATAATTATGGAGACAGGTCAGTTATACAGACTAACCTAGATCACTTGGCAAGGTGAATCATTTGAACAAACTGTGTTTTAATACCAAATGCAAGGTTATACGTCTAGGACAGGGTGATCAGATGTCCTGATTTATAGTGATAGTCCTGATATTTGGGGCTTTGTCTTATATAGGCACCTGTTAGCCCTTACCCCACCCCAATTTTTCACACTTGCTGTAGGGTCACCCTAGTCTAGGAACAAAGAATGTAGGTTGTCCTTAAAAGATGTGTGGGGAGGGGGGACTATATCCTGAAAAACAATGACCCTGAAAAAGATTTAGGGGTCATGGTAGTTAACCAGTTGAACACGAGCTCCCAGTGCAATGTTGTAGCTAAGATGATTAATGCAATTCTTGGATGTATAGGCAGGGAAAGATCAAGGAGTAGAAAGATGGTATTACCTTTGTATATAGCATTAATGAGTCCATTACTGGAATACTGTGTCCAGTTCTGGTGTCCACACTTCATAAAGGTTATTGAAATATTGGAAGGGTTTCAAAAAAGAGCTACAAGAATCATTTGAGTTCTGGAAAACATGCCTTCTAGAGAGAGACTAAAGAAGCTCAATCTATTTAGTTTATCCAAGAGAAGGTTCAGAGCTCACTTGATCATGATCTACATAGAGAAGAGATTTCTGATTGTAGATGTCTCTTTAATATACTTGAAAAGGGCATAATGAGATCCAGTTGTTGGAAGTTGAAGCTAGACAAATTCAGACTAGAATTAAAGCACAAAATTTTAAGGGAGGATAATTAATTATAGCAACAATTTACCTAGGGATGTGGTAGACTTTCCAGCACTTGAAGTCTTCAGGTCAAGTCTGCATATCTTTCTAAAAGATATTCTGTAGATCAAATGGAAGTTATGGGCTTGAAGGGGAAATTATTGCTGAGGTTGTTTAACTTGTGTTATGCAGGAGGTCAGACCAGATGATCATAATGGCCTCTTCGGGCCTTGAACTCTATTAAACTGGTGCCTGAATTAATTCATTCTCTTTTCCCATTGCTAGAGTGGGGACTGTGCTTTGCTTGCCTTCTTTTTTGGGCCTCCTGAGCAGATGGGGATTAAGCTGTGAGCTTTCTTCCTTCTGGTCTTTTTGCCAAAGCGGGAATTGAGTGATGAGCTGCTGGCACTACACACAAACCCCTAAATGGCAGGACCTTAAGCAGTTGTTTGTCTTGCTTGTGCTTAAGGCCAACCCTGATAGCATGACCACTACTGTTGCATAGGAGGGGACTTTCATCAGTGTAGTACAGTAATGTAGGACCTGACTCCTCAGCCTTTATTCAGGATAAGTAGCTCTGTGACTTGTCCCATTGAGTTCAGTGGAACCACTTGCATGAGTTGGTAAGTACCAACTTTTGCGTAACTTTAAAAGAGTATTTCTGTCTTTAAACTGTTTCCCCCTCCATTCTATAGACATGCGAGTGGGTTTGTGAAGAGAGGAGCCAACAGAATAGGACGTATTTACAAGAAAGCTGTTTATAAACAGTTCACAGATGGTACCTACATGCAGGAGATTCCTAAGCCATCCTGGTTGGGGTTCCTCGGTCCAGTGATGAAGGCTCAAGAAGAGGATATCTTTGTTGTTCACTTAAAGAACTTTGCTTTCCGTCCATATTCTCTGCATCCACATGGTCTCTTTTATGACAAAGATTCTGAAGGTAAAAACCAGTTCTCAGCTTCACTCCATACCTGCCCCTTCTGACCTCTCCTCCCTTGCCCTGCTCTCCTCACTCTGCTTCCCCTCTCTTTTTTCTTTCTATTTAGCTAATCTCCTCCTAAAGTAACCCCTGCCCCCACCCCACCCCAAAAAACCCTATGGCGCTAACCTGACTTTTGCCACCATCACATTATTCACTCTGTTTATGTGTTATACCCCTTCCCCCACCCAGTTATCTGCCTTGTCTATTTCAGCAATTGTTTCTTTGTATTCCCCTGTCTTTGCTTATTTCTTATATTTAAATTGCAAGCTCTTTGGGGCAGGGACTATCCTTTTGTTCTGTGCACAATGGTCCATGACTGGGGCTCCTAGGTTCTTCATGCAAATAATAAGTAAATAAATAATTGTTGTTCTGTCTCATTTCTCTTTTTCTACCCCCTTCCCTTTGTGGAGTGAATATACTGGATAAGGGCCCTGTCCAAAGCTGATTGAAGTGAATGGGGAACTTTCCATTGACCTTAATAAACTTTGTATCAGTTCCTAATAAACTGACCAGTATTGTTAACCAGTAACTTAAAAAAGAAACATTCTCATTTATTATGTTTTTAATTTTTAGGATAATTAGCTTCTTCCTGCCTTGCTTGCTTTTCTTAGTAAAAATGTGACCGTCTAAATCCTCCTCTCTAATCCATATGAGAGATCTTGGCTGCAATGATGTGTTCTCTCTATACACAGCTCCCAGGGGCAAATGACTAGGCTTCTATAGCTCTTTGTGGGGCTACAACATGCGATGTCATTTGCACAAGGAGGGATATTGATTTGAATGCAAAATTACATGCTGTGTGCATTTTCTCCTCACCGCTGTCATCAACACTTTCAACAATTTTAAGGCCAGCAGGGATAATTACCATCACCTAGTCTGACCTCGCATAACACACACCATAGAAGATCACCCAGTACTTTCTGCACCAAACTCAATAATTTGTGGCTGAACTACAGCCCGTCCCTTAGGAGAAGCACTGCGTGCACCCCAGTGCTAGCTCAGGGCCCTGTCTCAGCCCCGCATCTTTCTTTAGTGTCAGATATTTTTGTTTTTAATTTGCAGGTGGGAGTTCTAGGGGGGATATCCTGGCCCTGCTGAAGTCAATGGGAGCTTTGCCATTGCCTTCAGTCGTGTCAGGATTTCACCCCAAGTTTTTATTCTTCTCATTTCAGTGCTTAAAGCAGTGTACGTTCTGGGCCAGCTCCTCAGCTGATGTAAATCAGTGTAGCTCCATTGTCTTTAGTGGAGTTATGCCAGTTAAGGCAATGGAGCTACAATGATATATACCAGCTGAGGATACGTGTGTGTGTGTGTCGTACCCCCCCCACACACACACACACACATCTGGCTAGCTAAGTGTTGATATTGATGCCCATCATGGTATTATCTGAATATTGGTGGTTTATAAGGTGCCACAAGTCCTCCTGTTGTTTTTGCGGATACAGACTAACACGGCTGCTACTCCGAAACCGGTGGTTTAATTAGTACGCAGATACTCATTCTGCATTAAGTAAGTTAGTTAAATTAAGTAAGGACTAAAATTCTAAATAAACAAATACAAGTTTTAAGGGACTTTCAAGGTTCCAAGGGTTCTCTAAGGTTCCAAAGTATATTAAACTATGTAATTATATCAATATTGGACAGAACACAATGCATATATTTAATTATTGCAACATCTATGGGTATGTGTGCACTGCAATTAAAGGTGTAACTGCAGCACATGTAGACATATCTGAACTAGGTTTGGTCTAGCTAGCTCAAATAACAAGGGCTGTACAACCTTGCCCAGGATCCTGGGTATGTACTCAAGCCTCTGGCCCATGCTGCTGCTCATATGGCCATGGCTTCACTGCTATTGTTATTTGAGCTAGTAGATTAAAGCAAGATTGGGTATGTCTACATGGGGTCAGTCCCAGTCACACCTTTGATTGCAGTGAAGACATACTGTATGTAATAATACATCATATTTGTGTGTATGTCTGTATGTCCTCCCACAATGTATACATGTACCATGGGATTACTGCAATGGCAGCCAGTTCAAAGGACTCACCCTGTACTGGCTGCAGCCATTTTCTTCTCTGACACAATTGTGTATTTGCATGGGTTGACACTTGAGCTGTCAATTAATTGCAGTTAATGCATATGATTCACACAAAACAAATTAACTAGGTTAAAAAAAGTCACGATTAGTCAGAGTTTTAATGACACTGTTAAACAATAATAGAATACCAATTTAAATTTATTATAAATATTTTGGGATGTTTTTCTACATTTTCAAATATGACTTCAATTACAACACAGATTACAAAGTGTACAGTGCTCACTTTATATTATTTTGATTACAAATATTTGCACTGTAAAAAAAAAAAATAAACAAAAGAAATATATTTTTCAGTTCATCTCATACAGGTCTTTCCTACTTCGTGTTCAGCCAATCACTAAAATAAACAAGTTTGTTTACATTTACAGGAGATAATGCTGCTCGCTTCTTATTTACAATGTCACCTGAAAGTGAGAACAGGCTTTCACATGGCACTGTTGTAACCAGCGTTGCAAAGTATTTACTTTTCAGATATGCTAAACATTCATATGCCGCTTCATGCTTCGACTTGTAGGCTCTAAAGTTTTACTTCGACTTGTAGGCTCTAAAGTATTGTTTTGTTTTTGAGTGCAGTTATGTAAAAAAAAAATTCTACATTTGTAAGTTGGACTTTCACAATAAAGAGATTGCACTACCGTACTTGTATGAGGTGAATTGAAAAATACTATTTATTTTATCTTTTTTACAGTGCAAATATTTGTAATCAAAATAATATAAAGTAAGCACTGTATACTTTGTATTCTGTGTTGTAATTGAAATCAATATATTTGAAAAGGTAGAAAAATATCCAAAAATATGTATAATAAATTTATATTGGAATTCTGTTACTCTGTGATTAAAATTGCGACTAATCACAACTATTTTTTTAATCTTATGGTTAATTGAGATTATTTTTTTAAATTGTTTGACAGCCCTCATTTATAACTGAAAGAAAGAAAATCATTCACATTCAGCATCACAGAAGGATATGAGACCTGACCTGGCTTCCTTGGACAGTTCCAGTGAGAAACTGAAAGATGCTGAGTTTAGCTAGAGACTGTCTCTGTATCACAGTGAACAGGGGAACAATGTGTGCAAAACTTTAATCATGAAACCCCAAAGTTGTGCCAGGTTCACCAAAAACTTTTGTGAACTTTTTAGCAAACTTTGGGTACAGATGAACCTGAATCAAAACTCCCCACCCAACAGCAACATTTTGAAAGTCTTTGAATTCAAAACCCAACTCTGTAGATAAATTTTGAAAATGGCCCCTATCTATTGTGATGGAATATACCCCTGTGCTCACACCCTACATCCTATTGTAATAATGTTTGGGTGAGGTATGCCATGTGAGGTATCATTTAAAAACTTGTAATTTGCTGATCAGTAATACCATGGCAAAATGCACATAGCAGCATTGTATATGTGAAGTTATAAACATAAGATGAGATGACTAAAAGTATGTTTTCCAGATAAGTCTGGGAAGTGACCAAACCAGTTTCTCAGAGACAAGGGGCAGGCTGACAGCTCAGCCAGGAGTAAACAAGGCTGATGGACCATTACTTGTAAAGGGCACCTTAGGTTACGCAGCTACTTATTAGTCTGGATTGTGCCTCAGTAAATCACATCTATGATAGCAGGCTGAGCCAAAACCCCAGATTTAAATACCCCAAATTAAATGGTTGGGAGTAGGATGCCTCCTGGGAAGGTATGCATTCATTTGGGTGTGGGAGCCAGGCGCATGGGCCAGTCCTGCTGTCAGCTGAAGAGCTGCCATCGCAGGTATGTCAGGTAGCATGTCTCAGGTAGCTTGTGCAGATTTTTATCCTAGCAGCAGGCACAGCTACTAGGATGGAAGCAGACCGTTTCTTTGACGTATCTTTCTGCATTGTGTATGCTTCTTTTATCTTTTACTCTTTGATCTGTGGAGCCAACCTCTCAAAACAGATCAGGCGTAAATCAACATTACCAGTCTGTTGAACGTGATGTCTTTTGAAAATTATACTTATTAATATTGCGGAAGGCTAATCTCAGAATTATGTCTTGATTTGTAAATGATTCTGTGTTTGCAATTGCTGCTGTCATTGGTCTGTTTGTGAAATACTTGGTTAGGTTATTTACCAAAAATGTAACAAAAAGAAGTAGTTCCATACTTATCTAGTGTAACCCATTTTTCCAATATGTTTGGCCTTAAACTCCCTTTTTTTCACATTAGGAGCCCTCTACCCAGATGGAACAAGTGGCAAAAGCAAAGAGGATGATATTGTTGTTCCTGGTGGAAATTATACGTATACATGGCCAGTGAAGAAAGAGTATGCCCCCACTTTGGCAGACCCAACCTGCCTGACTTGGATTTACCATTCGCACATTGATACACCTCGAGATATCAGTTCTGGGTTAATCGGACCATTGCTGGTTTGTAAAAAAGGTACAGCGCTGAAAATACCGAGAAAGCCCCTCTGCCTGTTTTGGCATCTTAATAATCGTTTTTGTTTATAGGTGTAAATGTTACAGGCTTGATTGTGTCGGTACGTAGCTCATAGTAAGGGGCAGTTTATAGTTGTACCACTCTAGGAGCACCCCAGGCTTGGAATTGTGGCTCAGGGACAATTCCCTTGCTGCTTCCCTCTTGCTCTAGAGGACAGTAATGTGTGACTAACCTATACATCCACAGGATCCTTGCTTCAGTTAGGGCAGAGGTTGCATAGTGTGTAGTGCATTGCAGATGAGACCACATGTCAAAAAATGAGGACCAAAATAAATATTATTTATAATATTTATAAACAGCTGCCTCATTCACAGAATACCATCCAGTCTGCCAGCTGAACCGGGCAGTGGTTCTGTGGAAAAATGGCATGTGATCATGTCATGAAAGGCTGTCATCACAGGCGCTGACTTTCTTCTTTCTGGGTGGGTGCTCCACCTCTTCCCCCAAGTCCCCACCCTCACTCTGTTTCTTCCCGCCCCTGCTCCGTCCTTCCCCTGAGTGCGCCCTGCCCCCACTCCGCTCCCTCCTCTCCGCACCTCCTACCTGCCACTGAACAGCTGGTCAGCAGGTAGCTGGTGGGTGCATTCACTATTTTTTTTTTCATGGGTGCTCCAGCCCCGGAGCACCCACGGAGTTGGCACCTATGACTGTTGTACAAGGGACAAGTGTTAAAGTTGTGCAGGCAACCTTAACATTGGCATTTACAGACTTATAAGTGTGCTTCAGTTAGGAACCTTAATGTTTTTCTAATTCAGGCTTTTTTGTATGGAATATATCTTTATATGTTCATGCATGTCGAATCTTCAGTGTACGGGAATGTGCTCCGTACATCTGAAATGATAACCGGTCCCATGTATTTTACATACAAAATGTATGCCTACCTCAGGGCAATCTTTGTATTTCCTGAGGAAGAGGGAGACTTTGCTATGAAAGGGGCTAACCTAATCTCAAACCCAGCCTGCCTCATTAGAGTGCCTCAGAGTCATTCTTCATAGGGGAGCCTATGAAATCGTCCCATCTACCTGTATATATGAAGCTGAATTAACATTCCCAGTATCAGAGTAGCAGCCATGTTAGTCTGTATCTGCAAAAAGAAAAGGAGTACTTGTGGCGCCTTAGACTAACAATTTATTTGAGCATAAGCTTTTGTGAGCTACAATTCACTTCATCGGATGCATTCAGTGGAAAATACAGTGGGGAGATTTATATACACACAGAGAACATGAAAAAATGGGTGTTACCATACACACTGTAATGAAACACCCATTATTTCATGTTCTCTGTGTGTATATAAATCTCCCCACTGTATTTTCCACTGAATGCATCCGATGAAGTGAGCTGTAGCTCACGAAAGCTTATGCTCAAATAAATTTGTTCGTCTCTAAGGTTCCACAAGTACTCCTTTTCTTATTCCCAGTATCGTCATTCATTCAAATAATTATGCTGAAATTGGTCTGTAAAAGTCTTGCAGCTTAATAAAGTACTTCAGAAATATTATACATTCAGACTTACTGGAAGAGGAAACATTTAAATTTAATTAACGCTGAGTTTATTTTTTAGTACTTTCTTGTTTGCTGTTTAGGAAGTTTAGATGATACCTTGATACAAGGCACTGATGCTGCTAAAGGCTTTGCCCTGATGTATAGCATTGTAGATGAAAATCTCAGCTGGTATATTGATGCAAATATAAAAGCTTTCTGCTTGGACCCAGCCACGGTTGACAAAGAGGAAGAAGGTTTCAAGAACAGCAACAAAATGCATGGTGAGCAGCCACTATCAAGTACAACCTTGTCCTACAATAGCGCCTAGACTGTTTTCATGTCTGTAATATATTGCTGTTCCTTATAAATGCCTTTTAAATGTCTTTCCTTTCTCTGTTAATTGGGAAGAAATGAAAGCATAGGCTGTGGGTGGGCCAGACTATTACCCCATTGTACTTACAGAAAGCCTCCCCTCAAGTCTATAAGCAGTATGGTATGTAGGGCACAGGATCCGAAGAAGGAAGCCTGGCTCCTGTGCCCATCTCAGCCACTAGTTTGCTATTTGAACTTTGGCAAATTGCTTAAACCCTTGGTGCCTCAGTTTCCCCACCTGCAAAAGAGAAATGATGAGACTGACCTTTCGTAAAGCACTGTGAGATGTACTGCATAAAAACACTACTAGAAGTGGAGAGTGTCCAAGGCTCAAAAGTGCTTTACAAATAATGGGCCAGATCCTCAGCTGGTATAAATTGGCATTGCACTATTGCAGACAGTAGAACTACACCCTTTTGTATCAGCTAAAGATCTGGTCCAATGAAGTTAGCCTCTTCGCTCCCTGCAATGTAGGTAGGTGGTACTGTAGTCACTTTGCATGTGGAGAGTCTGAGGTAGAGAGAGATTTAACTTAATCATTTTCAAATCTGAGTGCCTACAGTTAGGCACCTAAATCCATGTTTTCACACCTAAATAAATGGCCAGATTTTGAAGTTAACAGAAATGTGGAATCTCCATCAATGGAGGCTTTTAAGAACAGGTTAGACAAACTCTTGTCAAGGATGGGGTAGGTATACTGGGTCCTTTCTGAATACAGGGGGATGGAACTCTCAAGGTCCTGTTCAGCTTTACATTTCTATTATTCTATGATTTTCAGAGGTGTTGCATACCCACAGTGTCCATTAACTTCAAAATCAGGCCATTTATTTAGGTACTTAACTACAGATTTCAGTGAAAACTTGGCGTAAGTGACTTCCCAAGATCACCTAGGAAGTTGGTAACAAGTAGCGATAGAAATCCAGGTCTCTGGATGCCCAGGCCTGTGATCTGACTGCAAAGTGCTCCTTCCTCTTTCTCACCTGGAACCATTGCTGCAACGTTTGCACTCTGGTTTTCAGGCGCAGCAGCCACTCATCCTTTCAGAACTGTTCTTCAGCTGCAACTAATACATGCTATTAATTATTTATATCTGTATGATCGTAGTGACTAGTCATGGACCAGGACCCCGCTGTGGTAGGTGCTGTATAAACATAAACCAAACAGACAATCCCTGCCCCAAAGAGCTCATTATCTAAGTATAAGAAATAATAGACTAGATGGATATAGACGCACAGATAGGACGGCACAAAGAAATGAGACAATACTGGTACAATCTCTGCACACTAGCGGCCTAACCGTTGTCAACTTTTTGGAGACATGGAAAAGGAGAGTTTTGAGGGGGGGTTTAATTGCCTAACTTGGATATGGTCTCAGCATGGACATTCTGAGGGTTTATTTTAAGGACCAGGCATTTACATTCTTTAAATAAGAGTCACTAGCAATCTGTGCTTCTACTTTGTATCTTATGGGCTGTGTTTTGTTTTGCTTTTAGCTATTAATGGCTACATTTTTGGAAATCTCCCCACCTTGGAGATGTGTGCTGGTCAATCCGTGTCCTGGTATTTGATTGGAATGGGTAATGAGATAGACATCCACTCTGCATATTTCTATGGCCATACCATCATTAACAGAGGCCACAGGGCAGACGTCGTCAACCTGTTTCCAGCAACCTTCATTACAGTGGAAATGATTGCAGGGAATGTTGGGAAGTGGCTGTTAGCCTGTCAAGTAAATGAACATTTACAAGGTACAGTGATACAGATCTGGCAAATCCTTCCAGGAAGATGCCAAGTTAGATTATCTACAGTACATATTTCAGACTCAAAAAGAGGAACTCAATGAGCAGGCACAGAATTGGGGGGCCCACATTTTCCGAGGACGTTAATATCTTACACTTGTTTCATCAAATAAATCTTGTGAGTCTTATTTCAGTCATTGACAAAAAGCTATATGAGGCCAAATCATCAGCGAGTGTAAAACTTCACTGATTCATGTGAGTGAGGATGAGTCACACAAGAAGGGTTATTCACACAAGATCCAGCCCTAGCTCAGTACTTGTTGTGTATATTGGGGCTTTTGGTGAGCAATGAATGAAGGGTCAGGCCCTTTCTTTGCACTGTCTTGTGGAATATAGACTCTTAAAGTCATGTCAGGTAAAACATTTCACACTTTTTCTTTTTAAAGAAATCTAAAAAAAACTGTCTGTTTCTAAAAGGCCAGCGAGGGGCCTTTGCATGAAAGAACTTACTATTATTATTAAGTACTGTTTAATAATACAATACCCAGCTCTGGGTCTCATTGTCCCAGCATTGTACAGACCAAATATAAGAGAGAGTCCCTGTTCCAAAGAATTTATAATCTCAGAGTCTGATCCAGAGACTCCCATTGGCTTCTATGAACTTTGGATCAGGCAATCCAGGCTTGATTCTGCAAGGTGCTGAGTGCCTCCCACAAGATGCTGCCCACCCTCTCTACTCCTGTTGAAGTCAGTGAGAGGTGAGGATACTTCATACCTTTCAGGAGGTGCTCAGTGCCTCAAAGGACCGGACCCTAACAGCCAGATTCTGCCATTCTTACTGAAATCAATGGGAGTTAAGCGCATAAATATACCTTTGAGGATCTAGGCCTTGACTAGTACCTTGCTCCATGAGTAGTCCCTTTGATTTCAGTGGTATTACTTGTGAAATAATGTGCCATGCTAAAAAGAGTAAGGGTGGCAGAATTCAACCCCATATAAATTGGGGAACTCTTTAAAAATGTAAATTTGTCCAAACAATCCAAGTCATTTCTCCCAATCCATGTAGTTCACCTTCCTCTACCAAAGCTAATGTACATTAACTTTGCACCAAAGAGATGCCTGAAATGGTGAAATTTGCACTGTCTTAAGAACTGTTTGTGGATTCTGTCTACATTTTAGCTGGTATGAAGGGGCTGTATAACGTTCAGATCTGCCATAAAAATGTTTCTCAGCCTTCATTGACTGGTCAGGAAAGAAGATATTTTATTGCTGCTGAAGCCGTGCTATGGAATTACGGCCCTGAAGGCTATGACAAATTCACGGGGCAGGCCTTGAATACCACTGGCAGGTACGTGTCCCAGCCTTTCATTCCTACTTTTAATGTAAAGAGTATGGGTGGATTTTCTCACCTCCCTAGCAGATTTGTACACTGGATTATCATTCATTAAAAATGGGCGTCCAAATCCCTTGAGTGCCTTTGAAAATCTCAACTGTTGTCATAGGTTGCCATAATGTGAAATCTTTTTTTTTTAAATTTCTGTTGATGATGATGCTGCTGATGATGAGATTTTATATTAGGATATTGCTCAGAGACCCTAATCTGGATCAAGGGCCTATTGTGCTAGGTGCTATATGGACACTTAGGATGACACAGGTCCTGCCCTTTAATATTTACACTCACTAATGTCTTGCCTTGAGTTACAATGTAACACAGAGTGAGCACAGATTTGTGAATTTGGTTTTCTAGATATATTAATACATGTAACTGGCCCTTTCATGCTAAATAATGTGTATCTAACTCCTTTGTGTTACAAACCCAATTTATATGCAAACCTCGCGCACCCATGACATGTAAGCAGGCGAAGCCCTGATGAGCCACACCTGGGTTGAATCAGGTGATCCCAGGGTAAAAGGTCGCTGGAAGCTGCAGCAGTGTCAGGCTGAGAGAGTACGAGAGCAGTGCCCGAGCTCCAGCTAGATGGGTGGGGCTTATGATTTTGGACTCTGTCTGGGGGACTCATTGAGGACTTTTTGGATTTGTTTGTGATTAAGGACTCTTGAGGTTTGTGTGAACTTTATTTGACATTAAATCAGTCCCAGAAAGGGGTGCTGTGAGCCACAACAGAGACTGTCTGGAGCGCGTAAGGGTATGTCTGCACTGCAATTAGACACCCACAGCTGACCCGTGCCAACTGGCTTGGGCTTACGTGGCTCGGGCTAAGAGGCAGTTTAACTGCAGTGTAGACATTCAGTTCTGGGACCATCCTGCGTCTCAGGGTCCTACAGCCTGGGCTCTACCCCGAGCCCAGAAGTCTACACTGCAGTGGGAACAACCCCATAGCCTGAGCCCCATGAGCCTGAGTCAGCTGGCACGGGCCAGCCATGGCGTTTTGATTGCAATGTAGACATACTGTAAGGCAGTGGTGGGCAACTTGTGGTCCGCGCTGCTTCCCACAGCTCCCGTGGGCCGCGAACCGCGGCCACTGGGAGCTGCGGGCAGCCGTGCCTGCAGACAGTCAACGTAAACTAACTGTCTCACGGCCCGCCAGTGGACTACCCTGATGGGCTGTGTATGGCCCGCAGGTTGCCTACCGCTGCCCTAAGGTAAGGGGCCTGTAAGATGGGGCCAGTAAGGACAGGGTACCTGTAATGGGACCCCTGGCCATGAGGGAGTGCTCTGTAAGCTACCACATCACTACACCTCTCCTCTAAAAAGTGACTCCTCTAGTTGCACTGCAGCCCAGTGCAACACTGCAGTACTGGTTCAGTGCACACATGTTGCTGAAGGAAAAGGCCTGGGCAGGGACTATTGAATAGTGGAAGTAAATGTGTGGCTACTCAGGTTGTGTTGGTGAGAGGGTTTTGGCTTCTTTGACAATGAGCTGATGTTCCGGGAAAGAGGATTACTGTGATGGGATGGGCTCCATCTATCAAATACTGGTAAGCGCATCTTTGGACATCGTCTGGCTAAGCTGATTATTTTATTTGGCATATGCAATCTGGTCAAGCCAAGCCACAGCATTCTTATCAACAGTGTTCAAGGCATGAAGGCCTCCAGGAAGTGGAGTCATTTTGCAGTCCTCTCCAAACCATGTCATGGTTTGTGGCTGCCCACATTGACATGGTGGACTGTCTCTAAAATGCCACTGAAATTCTGCTGCAACACAAATTCCATGTCCAATACAAAATCAGTTGAGAAGGCTCCATTGCCTTCATGGTAAATCAAACATGGGTTAATATTGAGTGGGGTCCAAGACAAGATAATTATTTGTCACTTTCTCTGCGCACCATGAAGCTCACCACACATCCTCTACCGTAAATCCCTTATTTAGTAAATTTATCCACAACAGGCGCTATGAAGGCAGACAGCCATATGATGGATTAAACAAGTCTTTAGTTAACAGCAGATGTGGCATATTACACAATTTTGTCATGAGCTTTGTTGCACTTTGCAGAGAGGAAACACTGGATGGAGCAATATTGCAGAGAACTGGTAACCATGGTAGAGGAGTAGATTTAAGTGTGCCTGAAATAATACGCACAGTGAAATTAAGTTATACATCAATCATCCTTGTGTGAGATGAGCTAGCCCACACTGGAGCACACTACTCTGCCACTGAGTAACTGAGTGCCAAGGCTGAAGTGCATAGTGTTGGCGCCCCATGTCATTTTGGCCAGTTTTATGAGCAGGTTGTTGTGCGTTTTGACCTTAGTCGCTGTCTTTTTAAGATTGTCACAATGAAGATCAAAACGCACAACAACCAGCTTGGAAAACTGACCAGAGCAACATGGGATGCCAATGCCCAAACGTTACACAGTTTAGCCTTGGCACTCTGTTACTCAGTGGCAGAGTACTGCAAACTTGATAAGGAGAGCTTTAAATTAGGTCCTACAGGGGATGGTGACAAAAATCCATCTAATGTGCATCCAGGCTCAAATAATGAATGACAAGGGAAAGGGGCTAATTTCTGGAGAAGAGACTAGAAATCTCAACTGCATTAAAAAGACAAGAGGAAAAGCAAAAGGTCAGTCTGCAAAATATCTTTGATGCCTGTATACAAATGCAAGCAGTATGGGAAACAAGCCGGATGAACTAAGTCATGGTATATGAATAAAATTATGACATAATTGGCATTACAGTGACTTGGTGGGACAATTCCCATGATTTGAGTACCAGCATTGAGGGATATAGCTTGTTCTTAAGGGATAGGTATGGGACAAAGGGAGGAAGTGTTGCATTGTACATCAAGAATGTAAACACTTGCTCCAAGGTCCAAGAGGAAGTGAGCGACAGACCTACTGAGGGTCTCTGGGTGAGGATAAAAAGGGAAAGGACAGCAGCAATGCTATTGGTGGGGATCTGTTATAGACCACCCAATCAGGAAGAGAAAGTGGATGAGTCATTCTATAAGCAGGCAACAGGACTAACACACATGAGCTAGTATTAATGGGAGATTTTCACTTTCCTGATATCTGTTGGAAGACTATTACAGCAAAAAACATGTCCTGCAAATTCTTAGCATATGCCAGGGAGAACTTTCTCATTTAGAAAATTGAGGAAACAACTAGGGGTCATCCATTTTGACCAACAGAGAAGAATTAGTTGCGAACGTGAAGGTGGTCAGGAACTTGGGAGGAAGTGATCATGATCTGATAGAATTCAAGATCCTATGGAAAGGAGGACATGAGAACAGCAAAACAAGGACACTGGAATTCAAAACGGTGGATTTCAACCAATTCAGAGAAATAGTAGGCAAGTTCCCATGGAAACACCAATTAGGAAAAAAAAGGAGTCGAAGGCGGCTGGCTGCCAAGGCTGGCAGTTCCTAAAAGATGGAATACTGGAGGCTCAACATCAAGCTAGTCTTATGCAGAGAAAAGATAAGAAGCATCACAGGAGGCCAATGTGGCTGCACAAGGAGCTTTTTAGCTATCCAGAAGCCAAAAGGGACACATACAGGAAATAAAAGGGGCATGTCACCAAGGAAGTGTACATGGAAATAGCATGAATGTGTAGGGGAAAAAATCAGGAAAGCCAAGGTAAAGAATGAGTTATAGCTGGCAAGAAATGTTAGAGACAACTAGAAGGGAGTCTTCAAATATGTCAGACATAAAAGAAAAATCAAGGATGGTGTGGGTCAGCTGCTCACTAGAGAAGGTGAGCAGCCAGCATGGATTTATTAAGAACAAATCATGCCAACCCAGCTTGATTTCCTTCTTTGAGAGGGTAATTAGTTTGGTGGATGGGGGGGATGTGGTGGACATAATATACCTGGCTTTCAGCAAGGCTTCTGACACAGTCCCACATGAGATTCTGATAAACTAGAGAAATGCAGGCTTGACAGAACTGCCATTAAATGGATACATAATTCGTTAAACAACCACAAACAAAGAGTAACTATTAGTGGAATGGTGTCAGATTGGAGGTAGGTCCCAAGTGAGGTTCCCTAGGGATCTGTTCTGCGTCCCGTGTTTAATATCTTTATTAATGACCTGCGTGAAGGAATAGAGAGCATACTGACCAAATTTGCAGATGACATAAAGGAGGGTGTTGTCAGCACTTTGGAGGATAGAGCTAAAATTCAGAGGGATTTTGATTAAATTGGAGAACTGGGCTATAGCCAACAAAATGAAATTCAGCAAAGACAAATGTAAGTTGCTACTCTTTGGGAAGAAAAACCAAATGCACAAATACAAAATGGAGGATAACTGGCTTGGCAGCAGCACTGCTGGGAAGGAGTTGTGGTGAATCACAACCTCAACAGGAGTCAGAAATGCAATGCTGTTGCAAAAAAAGCAAATGCAATTTTAGGTTGCATTAACAGAGGCATAGCATGCAAGTCACAGGAGGTGATAGTACCACTCCACTCAGTGCTGGTTAGGTCTCAGCTGGAGTACTGTGTCCAGTTTTGGTCACCAGTGTATAGAAGGGATGTAGAAAAACTGGAAGGATCTAGAGGCGAGCAGCAAAGATGATGAAAGGGATGGAATGCAAGCCATATGAGCAAAAGCTGAGGGAACTGACTCCACCGCTATGTTTAGTTTGGAAAAGAAGAGATTAAGTGGGACATGATAGCAGGCTTCGAATACTTGAAAGGCTACCTTTAAAGAAGATAGAGAAAAGTTGTTCTCTCTTGCCACAGACGGCAGGACAAGAGGCAATGGGTTCAAACTACAACACAGCAGATTTAGGTTAAATCTCAGGAAAATCTTCCTAACTGTAAGAGCAGCAGGACAATGGAACAGACTGCCTAGAGAGGTTGTGGATAGGGTGACCAGACAGCAAATGTGAAAAATCGGGATGGGGGTGGGGGGTAATAGGACCCTATATAAGAAAGACCCAAAAATCAGGACTGTCCCTATAAAATCAGGACATCTGGTCACCCTAGTTGTGGAATCTCCTTCAGTGGAGGTTTCAAAAGGAGGCTGGATAGCCATCTGTCTTGGATGGTTTAGACCCAGCAAATCCTGCATTTTGGTAGGGGGTTAGACTACATGACCCTTACTGTCCTATCTAACCCTGTGGTTCTATGATCCTGTTCTTCACACTCCCCTCCTGTCATTTCTAACAGCCACACTCCACCTTTCCAGAATTTGAAATCAGATGACTGTCACTTAATTCTGGAATGTATAACCTGCCAAGGCAAGAAGTTTCAGACAAACTATTAGACCAATCTCTAGGGATGGTTATGTATCTGCAGTTCATTTCTGTTCTCTATAATGAACTTTTTTTGTTGGTTAATCTTCACACAGAGCACCCATTTCTAACCATGGGAATTCCACTCATGATACAGGCTCAGCATATGATGGCACATGAATTCTGGGACATAATTCCATAACAACATGACAACAACAACAATAATAATATACCTAGCTTTTATATAGTGTTTTTTTTATCCGTAGATAATAAGAATGGCCATACTGGATAGATCCATTGTCCATCTAGTCTTGTGTTCTGTCTCATTTGGGAGAAGGACTTTTGCCCAAAGTGAAGTGTTATAAATGTATATGCTACTATGTAATCAGTCTGATTTGTTTATTTCATAGTGAGTCTGCACCATTCTTTACACAAGGGACAGATAGAATAGGAGGACAGTACTGGAAAGTTCAGTTTGTGGAATACACTGATGACAAGTTTACCAGAAAGAAGAACCGAACTGAGGCTACAATGCACCTTGGAATACTTGGTACAGTAAATATTTTCAGGTCCTATCACTTGCCTCATTTGTGAGCATGCAGTTCCAATCCACTTCAGTGGGAATTTTGTGCACATAGCTATTCGAAAAATCAGCCCCCATTCTGTAGAGGGGGCAGTATTTTTCGGCTTGGCAGTTTTTCTAAGTGACTCCTTTCCTGCTCTGTTTTTAAGGCCCAGTTATCAAGGCTGAAGTGGGAGATACTTTGTTAGTTACCTTTGCCAACAGAGCTGAGAAGAACTATAGCATTATGCCACATGGTGTGAGCTATAGCAAGCAATCAGAAGGAACGTCCTATTTAGATGGTAAGTTTCAGCTGTGTGAGTAATGAAGGTAGGATTGCTGCCATCTGGTTTACGTGAAGCTAACTCTCCTTATCTGTAGCATTATAGCTTTGTCTGCTTCAGATAGTCATAGATTTTAAGGCCAGAAGGTATCCTTAGATCATTTAGTCCAGTGGTGGGCAACCTGCAGCCTCCATGCAGCCTGTCAGCGTAATCCGCTGGTGGGCCACCAGACCGTTTGTTTACATTTGCACCGCCACCCACAGCTCCCAGTGTCTGCGGTTCGCCATTCCCGGCCAATGGGAGCTGCGGGAAGCGGCGCCCCCCGCCACTGATCTATTCTGACCTTCTGTATAACACAGGCCATAGAAATACTTTCAGTTACTCTGTGTTGGATCCTCCACTTGGATTTGCACCAGGCAATGCATTGGAGACCAATAGATATTTTCCCATTTTGTAATGTCATATGAAAATCATGGGCCAGATTTTGATCTCCATTATACGAGTGGAAATCTAGAATAAGTCAATGGAGCTACCTGATATTAGAATCTGGTACATATCTCTTTGTTCGTCTTGGATCTTTAACTATTGCTGCTGTTTAGGATATTGCGGCTAATAATTTAGGATCTGATCTGAGCTACGTCCTCTCCGCCTCTTCTCCCCCAGCCCCCCCCAGCTGTATTGGTAGCATTGTTTTGATGTTCTGATGTGATACACCTGGAACACTGAGCAGCACTGCAGGTACCTTTTGCCCAATGTAACTGGAAAGCAGCAAAGCAGTTAAGCCTTGTAAATACATAAATGTTGATATGAAATCTCCCACCGTATAAATTAGGCCTCAACGTTCTAGTTCCCTAATCTGAGAATATTTCTGCATAGGCTCTGTAGCACTTTGTCTCATTTAAAGCATTCAGCAGAAGGGGAAGTCGCTTGTTGGCCGACCTGCTTTGTTTCGACTGCCCTGGCAGCACTTGGCACTAAGGCACAGGACAGATTCCCAGCAGAGAGTTGTGCAGGGCTAGTAAAGGGAAAATGTAAACAAACTAATGAAATCAATACAAACCGCAGCAGCACCCTCTGTTACACGTTCAATCCCTGATCTCCCAGCGTGTAATGTGGGCATCCAGGCAGGCAGCCAGCCATGTTCTTTTCCTGAAACAAGACCACCCTGCGGCCAGCCTTGATGTCGTCGGTAAAGACCCTGCTGCCACCAACATCAGCAGTCATCCCCGGATTGAAGTGTGCTTCTGCTCTGTCTGCTCACATTCATGTTCTGACCTCAGTGGGAGTTCTCTAGTGATAGGTCTCTAAGCGATGCTCTCATTCCTGTGGCCATGCTTGGCATGGATTGGCCAAACACTAACTGTACCTTGGGTGCATTATATAGCTTTTTTTCTTATGAGGTCTAGACATATTCTCCCATCCTGCAGCTCACTCCTATCCTGTGGCAGAGGGTTATTTATCTCCAAAGCAATGCTCTTTTGTTTACTAAGAGCTGTCATTTTTCATTCTTCAGTATAACTCTCTGCTTCTTCATTCTTTATCGTGTGGTTTGTAGCACATATTGTAGTCCCAAGTAATAATGTCAATATACTTGTTCATAGTCCATCTAAGCTTTCAAATGTATCCTCTGTGGTCCTGTGAAATATTTCAGGAGCTCAGTTGAAATAAACGGCCACAGAGATAATAAAATGCCAGTGGCAGACACATTTAACTGCAGTGAGACAACCAGCCCAATCAATGATTTCTTCAATCTTAAAGCACATATTGGGCCTGCTCTTGCTCACATTGCTGCCAGTGGATGTTTTACCATTGTGTTTGAAGGGTGCAGAATCGACTCCTTTTTCTAACCGTCCTAGAAAGTCCCTTTTGTAAGTCTTCACACAGTGATACTGACATTCTCCATGGCTGGTGTGTTACTAGTTTAACATTGTCCCTGAGTTTCCTGTGAGGAGCAATATACCAAACCTTTGCATGACAGTACCCCCTTCCAAATAAGTCATAACATATAAACAGCAAGCAACACTCCTGAGACCATAACAAAGTTTGTGGTGTGCTGTTGCAGAGCCAGAAAGAAACAGATAACAGAGTCTGAATTGTTAAGTACCCACAGCTCCAACTGCAGTCAATGGGAGTTGGGCATGCCAATCCCCTTGGGAAAAAAGCAGTGAATATTTGGACAGTGTTTGTGCTGCTTTTTTGCTTAGAACGGAGAACGTGTTCTCAGAAACTAATGACTGTGACTGATCTCCAACTATTGCTTATTTTCTGGGAAATGGAAGAAAAGTGTAATTTTTGGGGAGGTGCTTTTATTGGTTTTGTATTTTAAGGACATTGGAAGTTGGGAGCCCATGTTAAACCCTGTGAGACCTTCACATACAAATGGAGAGTGCCTGAAAACGTAGGCCCAACCACCAGCGATCCACCGTGCCTGACTTACCTGTACTACTCAGCATCTGATCCAGTCATGGACACCAACTCTGGCCTTGTGGGACCTTTGATAGTTTGTAGAAAGAACACTTTGAATCGTGATGGAACACAGGTACTAAATGTGATGTGTTTACCTATCCTAAATGGCGTGATCTGGAGAAGTTCACATCCAGGTCTGAATTGCACAACATGGGCTCAGCCCAATTAATAAAATATTTGAAAGGGTAAACAAATTTCATTATTAAGAGTGGAAGCTCATCAGTGGAAGTCAGGAAGAAATTGGCATTGCCCGCTAAGCTAAGTGTGTTATAGTCGTATCTTTGTTTTTTCCATTTTCGCTGAGGCATTACATTTTTCATACAGACTAGAGCTGGACCTAAGCTATGAAGTTCTGATCAGACTCTGAATTTCCCCATATACAAAGTTTGGATCCAGATCCGCATCTGAACATCGTCATAGTTCCTGGGTGTTCAGATCAGGGGCTTTGGTGTGTGTCAGTCTCTGTGTACCGATTAATATGTAATTCAGATAGCGTGGTGGTGAGTGCGGTATAAGAAGCTATACAGACTAAAGTAGAACATGAGCCCTCAATCTGGGGGTCATGAACAAGTCTCATGGAGTCATGAACAACCTGCCTTTCTTTACGGCTGAGTGGAAAAGGTCCTGGTGTGGCATGGGGTGCCGGTATGGAGAAGGTAGAGAACGACTGAAGCAGAGTATTTATTTTGCTGTCATGAAGTTCATGAGAAAAAAAGTCTTTACATGTGTAATTCTGCAGGCACCTTTCGTTTTAACGCATTTGCTTCCTCCCTGACTGTAGAAAGGAATAGACAAGGAATTTTATCTGCTCTTCACAGTCTTTGATGAGAATCTCAGCTGGTATCTTGACAAAAATATTAAGGTGTTTACTGGGGACCCCTCAAAGGTAAACAATGAAGATGAGGATTTCCAGGAATCCAACAAAATGCACGGTATGGAATCTGTAAATAAGACTTTCCAGAGATATTTAAGCAGATGAATAGTGAATGTGTAAGACTTACCAATTTTTGTCATCATTCGTCGCTGCGGTTACAATGCTTTTCTTTGTGAGGGAATGTGCTCTGGGATTGGCTATTCTGATTTAGGGCCGGATTCTGATTCCCTAACTCTCACTGAATAGTACTTTGGTCCCATTGCAGTAAATAAGACTACATCTCATTCTGCATCTCCGCATGTGTATGGGGATCAGAATCTGGCTCTTAGTCAGAATGTCTTGGTCCCATCAGGATAGTGCCTGACTAGCTGTGTGACCTGGATCAACTCACTTAACCTCTCTGTGCCTCAGTTTTCCTGTCTGTAAAATGAAAATAATCTATTACACCTATGCCGTCAACTGCTCATGTTACATCAGTTTAATTATAAAGGAAATATTGTGAAATACTATGCATGTGGTGTCTTTCAGTATCACATACTTTAGATTAATTATGCCTGTCTTAATTCATTTCCTATAAACTCAGAATTGGGTTTGTTCAGATGATTATATTTAATTCTTACAGTATGAGGCAGTATCTCTTAATAGTTCCTTATGCTAACATGAACAAAAAGTACCAAGTATTGCAGAGTGCTTTACAAACCTTACTGAAGTTAGCTCCACAACACCTCTGGGAAATAAAGAGGGATTACTATCTTAATTATATAAAAATGGAAATTGAGGCCAAGTATGGTTAAGTGACTTGGTCTATGTAACACGAGAAGGCTGAGTCACAGCTGAGACTATAATCTAGGTCTCCTTATGCCCACTCCTTTGCCTTAACCATGAGTGCATTGGCGCTTCTAATTTATAGGGTTGCTGTGAGGCTTAATTAATGTTAGGAAAGCACTTTGAAATTCTTGGATGAAAGCTGCCATTGCAGTGTAAAGAATTAAGAGATCCCATTTCACAGACTAAGACTGAAATCTAACAGTAGGTCAGATACCCAGACAGGGGTTTATAGGAACAGCATTAAGGCAATTAATCTTCCGTACTTGTTGTTGATAGATACCACCTGTGCAGTGCTTCACTTAATTAATTAATGTGACCTACTCAGTCAGAGTTCCCTGGTTAGACATGCTAGCAGAGTATCTGCAGAATTATGACATATCTTACTAACTGGACTGTCTTCTCCTTCAGCTGTAAATGGCTACTTGTTCGGTAATCTGCCAGGATTGGTGATGTGCAAGGATGACAACGTTTCTTGGCATATGATTGGCTTAGGTACCTTCACGGACATGCATGGAGTTCATTTCCAAGGAAACACCATCCATTTGAGCGGGACGACAAGGGATACTCTGGCCTTGTTTCCCCACTCGTCGGGGACAGCGCTCATGCAGCCAGACCACGTGGGTATGTTTTTGAATTTATTTCAATATTGCTCTGTTTAGAGGAATCAAACCGCTTGATTATCACTTATGTTAAGGTCCATTTACACTTCTCTGGCAATGTGAAGGGGTCATAAAGTGCATGTGAATCTAGGAGCCTTACTTCAGGCCAAAGTTCTTTATTGCTAAGATGCTAGAATTCAGGTAAGTATGTACACCAAGGAACAAAAGACAGCACCCCCACATCGATGGGCGTGGGACAGACTGACAGGCAGGCAGAGAGGATCATCATAAAATGTTCCATAACTCTAAATACAGCATTTTGATTAAAGGTAAAATTCACCTCCATGAACAAGGCCAGCGCGACTTAAGATCTGTAGTGACATCTTGGGTGGGACTGAAGTGAGGCATAGCCTTGAGCCTCTGTACTGGGCTCCATTTCACCTAGAGAGTGTGCATAAAAGATGTTCCCATTTCTCCATTAGTCATCCAGTGATGTGATTTCAAAATTAATACGGGACAAATCCTGCCCTGAGAGAGGCTTTGCAAACATTAGGGTCCAGTGTTGTTTTCCTTTACACTGGTGTAACTCCAGTGGAGTTGTTAGTTTTGCAACAGTGTAGCTGAGAGAAGAATTTGGCCAGAGCATTTAACAAACACCTGCACTATGAGCTAGGGGTGTAATTCCCCAGCTCATGTACACACAATTGTGCCGGCTCTCATACCCGCCAGTTTCAGGAGGGTCTGTACTTTCCGTGGCTCAGCTGTGCCTGTTCTGCCTCTACCATGGCTACACTGCTATTTAGATGAGCTCTCATGAGTATGTGTATATGAGCACCAAAATCACACCCCTAGCTCATAGAATCATAGGGCTGGAAGGGACCTCAAGAGGTCTTCTAGTCCAGTCCCCTGCATTAAGGCAGGACTAAGTATTATCTAAACCATCCCTGACAGGTGATTGTCTAACCTGTTTTTAAAAACCTCCAATGATGGAGATTCGAAACCTCCCTAGGTAGTTTATTCAAGTGCTTAACTAAAACACAGCTCTTGCTGTGAGCAGGATTCAAAGCTGAGTAGGGAAACCCCACTGGATTTCAGTTCCAATGCCTTAACTGCTCAGCCATTACAGCTGTGTGTAGCTATAGTGTAGACATAGGCGATGTGACATCAATGGGAGTTATGTATGTTTATTAGCAAGCTGGATTTGGTCCATTGTGTGATGAGTTTAAGTATGGACTAGAAAGAAAATTCTGTTCCAGCATGCATCCTATGCAATGCTATCATCTACAGTGGAATTACAGAGTATAAATCAGGCCAGAATTTGGGCATCTGAACAAACAATCTGCCTTTCTCTTAATCCTGCACTAACAAGAAGCTGGAGTGAATGGCTTAATGGATTTTTTTCAGTCTTTAACATCTGTGATTCATCTTAATTAAAGGATGTTTTAATTTTCCATAACCTTTGCTTTATAAGCAGTAGGGTGGGATTGGAATCTAGTATGTAGAGTAAGGTACTGAGAGTTAGTACTCTACTTCTACTTCTGGCTCAACCACTGAGCCACTGAGTTGGTCTTGAATACATCACTTAACTTCTCTGTGCCTCAGCTTGCCCAGCAACAAATGGATCTGAAAACATTTACCTACCTCACATGGGTATTGCAAGATGTAATTATTCAGAGCCAGATTGTGGTCAGCCTCTGCTTGGGTGCACAAGAAGGAGGATACAAGAAGCCTTGCCCATCTTTCACACATTTTATGGGAAGCCACCGCTGTCCTTGTAAGCCCTGAGAGCAAAAGCTGCTCAGAGCTAGGCCCCTGTGGGTGGGAACCTCTCTGGGAAGGAGAAAGAGGAGTCATGGCTTTACCTAATTCTCTTTGCACTTGCCAGTGGGGACGATCAAATGCTGCACCCTCTTACTTAGTATAGGCTCAAGCATTCATTCCTGATTCATGCTGGTGAATACGTGGGTGGCACAACTGGCCCCTATGTATTGCAGTAATTCCCAGTCAGATCAGGGCCCATTATGCCAGGTGCTGTACAAACACCAAGTAAGAGTCGTCCCTTCCCTGAAGAGTTTACACTCTAAGGGCTAGTCTAGACTAGAAGCACCACAACAGCGCAGCTGCATTGAAGACACTCCCTGCTGACAGGAGAGAGCTCTTCCGTCAGCATAATAAAACCACCTTGGTGAGAGGCAGTAGCTATGTCTGTGGGAGAAACTCTCCTGCTGACTTAGCGCTGTCCACACCAGCGCTAAGGTCAGTGTCACTGATGTCGCTCGGGGTGGCTTATTCACACTGCTGAGCAACGTAAGTTACACTGACATAACCTGTAGTGTAGACAAGCCCTGAGGAATGGCACAACAGCTGTGCTCTCAGGAGCTCTGGGAGTCATTGTGGCACAGTGCCTTCCAGAACGTTCCCTGGGGCAAGACTGCTCTGCCCTAGCTACTCTTCTGGGCTGGGCCTTCACAGTGCAATCTGTCTGTTAATACAAGTATTGATGTTTGCAAAGCACTTTGAGACTCTTCGATAAAAGGGTGCTATGTTCTTGTTCCTAACTTTACTATTTGATCAATGATTTCACAGCTGCACAGTTGATCAGGTAATAACATTAAAGCTCTGGCACTGGATAGGTGCCTAAAACACAAGCCAACGTCAGCAGAAGCTGAATGCCAACTAAAATGGAGCCGAAACTTCTAAGCAAGAGTCCATTATCTCTCAGCAAAGTGGTGTTCAGCAGCCTGCAGTTGGATTTGCCGCCCGATCCCACCTAACAAAGTGGGTAGGATGCCCTACTATCCCTGTTATATTCTTTGAAGGAACATCTGCAGGAAAAGAAATGGCACTGTAGTATTAGAAAAATGTTACTCCTGAAACTCTGCAGTTGGAAGTGTGATAAACTTAGATAGATAACACAGCTACCTGGATGGTACTTAAGGGTAGTGAGGGTTTGCTGGCCAGCTCATTTCTAAAGGCCAGCTATCTTATTGACAGTTGACCGTAAATCAGTACTCCCTCAGCTAAGAGAGCTTATCCAGGTTTAAATGAGAAAAATATCAAGGATGATGTTTAGGGATTTCTAGAGAAGATTATGTCAGCTCTCATGAGGTAGCAAAGTTACTTGCTTTCTCATGGATACATTTATGTCAGTGGTCACGTTTTGGTTATTAAATACCAGTGAATGAATGCTCCCATTGATTGTGAAAAGACTTACATTGCAGGATCAAGACCATAGGTTGTAAATGGCAAAAGGAGAAAAGTGGTGTATGTCCATTTCACTGACCATCCTGAAAACCACATGGGCGTGCAGCTGCACCTGTGAGGATCTCTACTTATCTCAGTGGGGCTCTGTGTGAGAACAAGTGTCTGGCTGCATGGCTCTCAATGCGAAAGCAGATCTAGTTTGCTTTGGGGACAGGTTACTAAAGTATGAGGAATGGGGTTTTATCTTTAATCCTGTCATTTTATCCTTTATATAAATCCCCAGTGCTTTTTCTTGCAGGCATTTTTAAAGTGGTTTGCAGAACATTTGATCACTTTGTAGCTGGAATGAAACAGACATATGAAGTGAATAGGTGTAGCAGTACAGCTCGCCCGGGGCAGCCCTATGGAACCATGAGAACATATTACGTTGCTGCGGAAGAACTGGAATGGGATTATGCACCTAATAAGACCTGGGCTCTGAGTGGCAAAGATGCAAGGTACTGAAGTCCAATTAACAACAAACTGTATTCATGGGTATTCATACATGCTCTTATGGCAAAACCTAAATGTGTTTTGGGTTTCAGAAAAGCTAGCTAATACTTTTGGAATGTGTTAGATGTTTGCTAAAGCAGGTATTTTCTGCAAAGAAATTATAATATGTTTATTTCTTACTGAATAATGTGGTTTCTGGGTAAAAATTTCAAAAGTGCTTAAGTGACTTAAGAACCTAGGTCTCATTGAAAGTAAGTGGCATGGAGGCTCCTAAGACCCAGATCATCAAAGGGAATTAAGTGCATAGCTTCTCTCCTCAAAGGTATGAGGCGCCTAGCTCCCACAGGAGTCAGGCACCTGCGTTACTTTTGAAAATGGAACTCTGTCTCCTAATTCAGCTAGGCACTTTTGAAAATGTTGTTCTGTATTTTTAGATTTTAAATTACAGCTCGGTTCTCTGGCTGACATTCCCCTGTGAGCTGGTGCTGCTGAGGTTTTGGATTCCCTGGCAATGTTTTGGCCTTGGATTTCTCTTTCCAGTGCCCTTTCCCCTGCTTCCTGAGCCCTTTCTGTTGGGCTACAGATAGATAAACACAGACCAAAGGGTGTAACAGTGGCATCTGGTGGCTAAATAGGATATCATCACTTTGAGTTTAATACTGTAGTGCGTTATAACTTGGGGTTGGGACACAGCGTTCAGATCCTTATCTGAACTTTCCCAAAATGTGGGGCTGAGGTAGCAAAGGGGTGGATCCAGGGTATTGTTTCACCCCATTATAGGGGCAGCACCAGCCTGAACTCTAGTTATTGAAAATGAGTACTTGTGGCACCTTAGAGACTAACAAATGTATTTGAGCATAAGCTTTCGTGAGCTACAGCTCACTTCATCGGATACATTCAGTGGAATACAGTGGGGAGATGATATCTGTTACTGGTCCACCCACCTTGTCTCTCCATTTTTTCTTATATTTAGGGATAAGAAAAGTATTTACCTTTTCCACAAACTTTAAAAAAAAAATTTTTTTAAGCTAGTTTTGCCAGCAATAAGTATTTTGCTTTACCCAGTTCTTTATATTCTTGGACAGATAAATTAGTCTGCCACAGGACTAGAACTACAAAGTACGAGAATTCAGGCAAATCTGATGATTTTACTGGCTCATTTAAGGCCTGATTCAGTTACCATTATAGTTAATAGAAGGACTCCTGTTGACATCAGGTGGCTTTGGATCAGGACCTTAGAGCTCGATCCTGCAAGATTCTGAGCACTCTCAACTCCCAGTTAAGTCTGAGTCACTCAGCCACTGCTAGGAACAAGACCTTATTGAAGATGAAGTAGCTCAGGTCTATGGAAAATCAACCCCTGGTTGCAGCACAGTAGCCCCCCACATAGTTAAAACACAGTTTGGGCTTCCAGTATAGCCACAGCCAAGCCATTTTTTTTAACTGTTCTCATGAACTGTGCTGTTCTAGGGAAACTTGGACTCTGCAAGGAATTTCTGAGGCATCTATGTGCAGTGCCCATTTACTTCCAAGCCTCCAAAGAACATAAGGGAGTTTGAACCTGGCAACTTCAAAAAGACAAATCACTTCAGAAATATGTGCCAGTCTGGCAAAATGTACCCGTTCAAAAAAAAAAAAAAAGTGAGGAGTACAAAGGAGCCAACAAAGATAGATTTATTGAGAACCATTGGCAGTATGTCATGTAACCATGTGGAAGAATCCCAGAAAGAGGCACTTTCTTCTAACAAGGAATTTGATTAAAACAATGTCCGCTCCACCCTTGGCACATGTGAGTCAACCTAGAGACTCCCCTCCCAGAGTGCGCCTTGAAGGTGACATTGTAATGAAAGGCCAATGCTCCCTAATCTAGTTTTGTTTTTGAGTTCCCCCTTCTGACCAATCCACTCTTTTTCTAGTGTTTAATCCAAGATGCTGGGGTGGGGTGGGGGAGAGAAGCAGTGTGATTATGTAAACCTGGAGTAGGAGGACTAGATGATTGGTATTCCCAAAAGGAGTATCTCATACATACTGGCATTATGGTCAGAGCCAGAAATGTGTAACATATATTAAAACGCATCAGTGGCTAGTGTGTATCACTGCCCTCTTATGGATAGAATCAGAACTGCTCATTGTGTGTGTGTCAGGCTCCAGTACTGGTTTTGACTGGCCATATTTCGTTTAGGTAAAGCTACTGCAGTAAAAGGCTCTGAGTTATCACCTTACTGTTGCTGTTAAGCCCAAATGGTCACAGTGATGAATATGAAGGTATTCACACATCTGTCACACGTAAGATGTAAAAGCCTTAAACTGAATGCTAAAGAGGTGTTCCCCAGCAAGTAGTAATAAAGCAAATCTTTCATTAGCACTTTAGATAGTTAAATAGTTTTGCACTTTTAACTTTTGTCTTTTTTAATTTGCAGTTACGGGAAAATTTTTGTAAGCCCAGGTGAAGATCGGATTGGTTCAAAATACAAGAAGGTGGTTTACAGAGAGTACACAAATGGAGAATTTACAGAGCACAAAGTGAGATCAGCACATGAGGAACACTTAGCAATCCTAGGCGAGTAGCTCTTATAACTCACAAAGTATACCAAATGCAAGAGAGCATCTCTTTCCAAAACCAAATAGGTTGTGTCAGTTTTGTTGTAGAAGGAAACGATGAACACTTGGATCGGTCCCAGATTTTTCAGTGATTTTTCACACATTTTTGCACAGATATGAATGATAGAATCATAGAATATCAGGGTTGGAAGGGACCTCAGGAGGTCATCTAGTCCAACCCCCTGCTCAAAGCAGGACCAATCCCCAACTAAATCATCCCAGCCAGGGCTTTGTCAAGCCTGACTGTAAAAACCTCAAAGGAAGGAGATTCCACCACCTCCGTAGGTAACGCATTCCAGTGCTTCACCACCCTCTTAGTGAGAGAGTTTTTCCTAATATCCAACCTAAACCTCCTCCTCTGCAACTTGAGACCATTACTCCTTGTTCTGTCATCTGCTACCACTGAGAACAGTCTCGATCCATCCTCTTTGGAACCCCTTTTCAGGTAGTTGAAAGCAGCTATCAAATCCCCCCCTCATTCTTCTCTTCTGCAGACTAAATAATCCCAGTTTCATAAATCATGTGTTCCAGTCTCCTAATAATTTTTGTTGCCCTCCGCTGGACGCTTTCCAGTTTTTCCACATCCTTCTTATAGTGTGTGGGGCCCAAAACTGGACACAGTACTCCAGATGAGGCCTCACTAATGTCGAATAGAGGGGAACAATCATGTGATTGTAAAGACAGATATTGTCAAACAGGAAGCAGTTTGTTGGAAGTATGTAACACATATAAGAGTGCCAGGTTTAAGATTTACCTATCCCTTTAAAGATTGAAGATATGCTGAACAGGTCAGTGGGAAAAGCTCTGGGGAGCAGGGTGTGGTTGCAACAAAAGAGTATGGTGTGCTCCGAATTTGGACTCAGCCACAATTTGGGCACGTGCAGATTATGTGTGGGGTGTTTTTTGGGTGCTAAATTTAATAAAACTATCCCAGCGCCTGACCCTGGTAACAAGTTCATCCAGCTAGGATGGACAAACAGACATTTCCGGCATCCACCTTAGCTTCATATGCACAGTGGGTTTTTTTGCGATGTTCTTGTGGGCAGGCAGGTTGGACTGGATGTTATCACCTCCTGTGGTTTAGGGGTGAGGCTAGAGCTGGTCATAAAATGCTATGGATTTTCTGTGAACATTTTTGAAAGTAATGAAAACAATTCCTTTTTTTTTTTTAAAAGGTTCATGGAAACTTTCCTTTTTCCCCAAAGAAAAACTGAAAACCAAAAATAGGTTTGAATTATTAAACCACGAGAAATAATCAGTTTTCAGTTTCTGAAAAATTTTTCATTAACATTTTCATTTGTTTAAAAAATCCCCAACCCCCCCCACCCCCCAACCATTTTTCACTGGAAAAAAAATTGACTTTTGACTGGCCATATTTGGGATACCCCATATCTGCTGGGGTTAGGAACCTGTTTTGGTGTTCTGTCCTTGGAGGCTAATGGAATCTGAGCATTTCTGATGGGCTCTGAGGAAGAATATTGTTTCCCTAAGGCCATGTCTACACTACCATTTATGTTGGCAAAACTTATGTTGCTCAGGGGTGTGGTTTAATTATGTTGACAGGAGAGCTCTCTCTTGTTGGCATAGGGCGGCTACACGAGAGATCTTACAGCTGCATCGGTACACCTGTGCTGCTGAAAGGTCTCTAGTATAGACATCGCCTATGAAATTATTGTTCAACCTTAACTACTTGTTAGCACTCCTCTTTACAGCTTTGGTCTCACAGCATTTTGTATGTGGATTTACACTGATTTCTCTTTACTTTCATTATGAGCAGCAGTGACAAGTCTAGGGTGACCAGATGTCCCAATTTTATAGGGACAGTCCCAATATTTGGGGCTTTTTCTTATATGGGCATCTATTACCCCCCACACTCTGTCCCGATTTTTCATACTTGCTGTCTGGTCACCCTAGACATGTCACAAAAGTAAGCTTCCAAGTTAAACGCTAGCAAATTCTACAACTTGTAAAAAATATTATTAAATATCCATTTCTGAGCTGATTTCTGGACAAACTCCAGTTTTCTTTATTTTAAAAGAGCAACATTAGTCACCATAGTGTGTTGTTTTCATTTAGGGCCCTTAATCCATGCAGAGGTTGGTGACTCCATACTGGTTATATTTAAGAATAAAGCTAACAGGCCCTATTCAATAACTGCACATGGCATAGAGGAAGTGGGTAGTGGAGAAAGACCTGGAACGCTAATCACTATGCCTGGTAAGTATGATCATTTATTCTTGAACAACAGAAGAGCTCCTTAAATCTTATATGAAGAAATCATTTTAAAAATCAAATGACATTCCTTTTTTCAAACTTTCTGACACCTACACATATTTTTGGGCACAGTAAATTCTAGATTTATCCGTCTATGTGTCTGTCTAGCTAGGTTCTTATTATTAGTAGGCTCTAGATTGTGTAAGCTTGTTAGGGCAGGGACTTTGTCTTCACTTGTTTCTGAGACACTTCTGGACACTCAGAAACAATAATTAATACTACCAATGGCTCAGACTTTAAAATTAGGTGCCTAAACATAGATTTAGCAACTTTACTTTAGGCACACAGAACTAAAAATTCTACCCAATAAAAACAATAGATATCAGGCTCGAGCAGAAGAGATCTCTTGAACATATGGGAATCGGTATACAATATATTTCCGTTTTCGTTTGATCCCATGCTCAGGCAAACTCAAACTGAAATCAATAGGGGCCTGATCCAACTCCCACTGAAATCAATAGGAGTCTTTCCATTTACTTAAACAGGAATCCGATCAGGGCCTAAGGGCCTAATCCATAGCAAAGCCAACAGAAAGACTTCCCATTGACTTCAGTGAGTTTTGGATTAGGCCCAAAGCCACAAGGAGTTTTGCCTAGGTAAAGGCTGCAAAATCAAGATCAGTAATACTGCCCAAACGTGATGTTTAACTGAAAGAAGGGGTTACAACTGGCATTTTATGTGATGTATGGAAACAGTGATGTAATTTAGTAGGCCAAACTCTGAATAGGCAGAAGCAGGCCCAAATTAACTGGAGTCAGTAGAGTTTATACCTATGCTGCATTTGGCCAAAGGCTGAGATTTTAATAACTTAAAAAAAAAAATCAAGGAATTCAGAGTTAAGGTTTCCAACAACATTAACTCTGCTTCTTTGTGCATCAGCATTACAAATGGAACCTTCCTTCAGAGTTGGCTAAAAAAGCTTATGCAGAACCGTTTTCCACCGGAAAATTCAGTTCCATCAAAACTGAAATCATGTTGATTTTGCTAAAATTTTGTTTCAGAAAAAAAAATTGGAGGGGGAAAAGTTCCAGGATGTTTCAACATTTTCATAATGAAATGTTTCAATTTTTTGTTTTGAAACCATTTGCTATTTCAGTCTTTTAAACGGTGTATTATATATTATAATATAATAATAAAAGTTGAAGTTGAAACTAAACTACATGTTTTGATCAATGTGATTTCCCCCCCCCCCCCCTGAATTTTCTTTCATGGAGAATTGTGAAATTTTGGTGTGTTGTTCAAAATCAAAACAAATTCTGAAATCTCAAAATCCTTCACAGAATGGAATTTCTATCTTTCACACAGCTGACAAAAATGCATATAATACAGAGGTTCCAAATGCTGCATGTTTATTATTTAATACATTGCAGCTCCTTTGTATGATTCCTTTTTGTTCTGTTAGTTGCTAGATAGTATATACGTTGTCCAGCATTGCAGTGTTATAATGATAGACATTGTTGTAATGCCTGTAATGGGCACACTGGGGTCGGGTTACAGTAAAGTTGTAGGAAAGGTAACCCTGATTTTCATGACTGTTAGATGATTAAAATCTCAGCCTGAAGATTAAGGTGCATTCAGATTAAGGTGACCAGATAGCAAGTGTGAAAAATCTGGACAGGGGGTAGGAGGTAATAGGTGCCTACATCAGAAAAGGCCCTGAATATTGGGACTGTCCCTGTAAAATCAGGACATATGGTCACCCTAATTCAGATCACCACACTCTGATTTTTCAAAAACAAAGAAAATTAAAGAAAATTAGCCTAGAGCTAAATGTCTAAAAAGAGTCTAAAATGCCCATCACTTTAATCTATGGAGCAGGGGACCATGCCTCTTGAAGTGTATGGCTGCAGGGTCCTCCCTTCACATCTTTCCTTGACTCTTGTTGGTGAAAGGATGGGGGGGGGGGAAAGAGGAGAACTACACAGAGAGGCAATATCCTTTATAGCCACTTTTCCCCTTGTCTCTGTCTTTCCATTGGTTTGGTTCCCCATGACAGTGGGGGAGCATAGGGGTCTGCAGTCATTCCTAATTACCTATTTCCCTGTGATTCTTAACCCTTTTGCAGTGTAACCCTTCTGCCAGATGGATTCGGCAGCAACAAGGGTCAGGTTCAATATCTAGGAGTTCCTCTTAACAATACAAAGCAGAATCTGCTCAAGCCCCTATCCGGTTATCTGGGAAAACTTAGAAGCACCCATGGGTGGTGTTAAGACGCAATACTTTCCCTCTTCCAAGCACTGAGTCTGTATATGTCAAAAGAGAACTTTTAATAAAAGGGAAAGGAAACCAAGCATTAGTTTGGGAAAACATCACAACCACATTCAAAAGCATGCAGTTCTAAGCAAAAACCCAACCCCACAGTGTGTTGGGCACGTGTCCTTTGCCTCAGTTTCCCACCCTCTGGTGGGAAAGTCTAACACATCACTCTCCTCTACCCCACTCACAGTTGGCTGGCCTTGGTTAGCGAAGACTCACTGGAGATGGGGAAGGTTAATTGGTCACTAGAACTCTTTGGGCAGAGTCATACCACCAGATACAAACAACTGTCCCCACCCCCTCTCTCCTGGCTGGGATTTGGCATTTCTACCCTCTACTTAGCATGTGAGGTTCAGTTTAGGGTGACTCCCTCAATCAGGGTAGGCTAAGCACAGTTCAGCTGCCCTTTACCCATACAGTAAGGGTAACAATATTTTACTACCTCGGTGCTCATTGCTAAAATGATTTGTAACCCAGCACCAGACAAAAGTGATCATTTTGGCAAAGCTGCGCCATCATGCTGAGGACCTAGGCAGAGTCAGCATAGAACCTGTGCAAATACGGACTGTTCCTGAAGTCTTTTTCCCTAGCTGATCGTTAGATGTCAGGAGAGCGCTCACGCAGACCCTGCTTGCAGCAGTACAGACTGGCTCACATCATTTCTACCCCGTGCATTGTACTGACATGCATATGGCTGCATTGTCCCAAACAGTATCCGTTAAAACTTGTTGCCTTTTAATTTGGTCTCACTGTGGATGTTACCTGCTGTTCTGCACAGGCGACTTACCCACAGGTCATGTGAACTGAAGGGTTGCTGAACAACATTCTTGCACACGAGAAATAAATGTGGACTAGACTGTGCCTGGCCCTTGCAGAGGTGTGCAGGGCAGGGGAGGGTCTTGCATGGCCTGCATGGGTGACGGGCACAATCGTTCCTGAGCTCAGTGTAGCACAGAAACTCCTCACTCCGTAAGTCCCACAGCATCCCAAGTGGGGCGGGAAGGTAAAAAAAGAGGTGGATGAGGCAGGGCTATGGCCATGCCCTCCCTCCTCAACAGCCCACCCAGCAGGCTCAACCCAGGGAGAGGAATAATGCTGTGCCCCACAAAGACTGTAGTAGTGGCTGCACTTTGCCTGTCCATGTCCCGGGGGGGCAGAATGCTTGCCAGAGCACCTGTAGTTCCATGTCCTCTCCTAAGTCCAGGGTTGTGCCTTTAAAAGCCTCCCTGGCCCTGCAATTCACAGTTCATAGAATCCTAGAATGTATCCGGGTGGGAAGGGACCTCAGGAGATCATCTAGTCCAAGCCCCTGCTCAAAGCAGGACCAATCCCCAACTAAAGTTGCCAACTTTCACGCAGTCAATAAGCACCCCGACTTTCACAACAATTCAAAAATCAAGCGAATCCCGTTTCAAAACCAGGCCAAAACAAGCCAATCCCTAAATATTCCAACACTCTATGTGACTCGATTTCCCCCCCCTCCCCCGGCATGCAGTCTGGGACTGTGGTGGGCCCGCTGTGCACCCCTGACTCTCTCCCCACCTTGTCCCTGCTTGCCCTTTGCCCCTGTTTGCGCCCCTTTTTCCCCTGCTTGCCAGGAGCTGATTTAAAAAAAACAAGAAGCAACAAGCTACAAACCAAACAAGCTACAAGCCAAAAACTAGCCAACAAGCAACTCACAAGCCAATTAAGCCAAAAACAAGCCCAATTTCTGCATTTTTTTTCTGCAGGTTTGGCATGTCTGCCCTGCATAAATAAATAAATCAATACGGTAATGAACAGCAAGGTTTTGTCCCATAAATTTAAAATAGTAGTGGTAATGCAGCATTTGTGTGATATTCATAAAGGTCGGAGCCATATTTGAGAGTCACCATTTTTTAGTATACATTTATATTATAAAACAGTATATACAACTAAACATAGTAGTAAATGGGGTTTCTGTTTGCCCATACCCTAAACACAGATATAAATAAATCTTGCCCATTTTAAACTTTAAAACCGTCCTTTGCTGTGATGCCTACTAATAATCTTGACGTTGTGGTGTGCTGTGACCAAAGCCTAACATGCTGACCGGTACTCCCCCATCTCTCTACTGTATTAATATGTTGTCTCCTGTCTTATACGTGGATTGTAAGCTCTCTGGGCCATGGACCATCTTTTCATTCTGTATTTGTACAGCATCTAGCACAGTCAGGTCTTGGTCCATGACTGGAACTCCTAGGCACTGTGAAAACACAAATAGAAAATATTAATAAAAGCAGTAGTACACAAGGAAAATAATTAATCTGCTGTATTATTTTTTAAAATATAGAGAATTTAATGTGGTCACAACAGTTTCTTCAGTCAAATTATTTTGTTTTGTAAAATCAGGGATCAACACACAACTGGAGACATTAATCTTAAACTAATACAGTTCTTGATCATTTCATGCTACATAATCTTTATAAGAATCTTCCAGTTTGTCTCTAACCTCTAATAAAAAACAGAAATGTTTTCAGCATCGTTATCAGAGCTTATTTTCGTGGGCCTCAGCCTATTATAACACAGCTTCTCCTCAATGCATATGGTGCACATTTGGTTCTTTACATTTCTGGTTATGAGACCGTAAGATCTGAATTCTATTTTAAAAACTCATAACATGCAACAGTTGTTGGTAAGAACATAAGAATGGCCATACTGGGTCAGACCAAAGATCCATCCAGCCCAGTATCCTGTCTGCCAACAGTGGCCAATGCCAGGTGCCCCAGAGGGAGTGAACCTAACAGGTAATGATCAAGTGATCTCTCTCCTGCCATCCATCTCCACCCTCTGACAAACAGAGGCGAGGGACACCATTCCTCACCCATCCTGGCTAATAGCCATTAATGGACTTAACCTCCATGAATTATCCAGTTCTCTTTTAAACCCTGTTATAGTCCTAGCCTTCACAACCTCCTCGGGCAAGGAGTTCCACGGGTTGACTGTGTGCTGTGTGAGGAACTTCCTTTTATTTGTTTTAAACCTGCTGCCCGTTAATTTCATTTGGTGGCCCCTAGTTCTTATATTATGGGAACAAGTAAATAACTTCCTTATTCACTTTCTCCACACCACTCATGATTTTATATACCACTATCATATTCTCCCTTAGTCTCCTCTTTTCCCAGATGAAAAGTCCTGGTCTCTTTAATCTCTCCATGCGGGACCCATTCCAAATCCCTAATCATTTTAGTTGCCCTTCTCTGAACTTTTTCTAATGCCAGTATATATTTTTTGAGATGAGGAGACCACATCTGTATGCAGTATTCAAGAAGTGGGAGTACCATGGGTTTATATAAGGGCAATAAGATATTCTCAGTCTTACTCTCTATCTCTTTTTAAATTATTCTGAACATCCTGTTCGCTTTTTTGACTGCCGCTGTACGCTGCGTGGACGTCTTCAGAGAACTAGCCTCGATGACTCCAAGATCTCTTTCCTGATTAGTTGTAGCTAAATTAGCCCCCATCATATTGTATGTATAGTTGGGGTTATTTTTTCCAATGTGCATTACTTTACATTTATCCACATTGAATTTCATTTACCATTTTGTTGCCCAGTCACTTAGTTTTGTGAAATCTTTTTGAAGTTCTTCACAGTCTGCTTTGGTCTTAACTATCTTGAGCAGTTTAGTATCGTCTGCAAACTTCGCCACTCACTGTTTACCCCTTTCTCCAGATCATTTATGAACAAGTTGAATGGGATTGGTCCCAGGACTGACCCATAGAAAACACCACTAGTTCCCCCTCTCCATTCTGAAAATTTACCATTTATTCCTACCCTTTCTTCCCTGTCTTTTAACCAGTTCTCAGTCCATGAAAGGATCTTCCCTCTTATCCCATGACAACTTAATTTATGTAAGAGCCTTGGTGAGGGACCTTGTCAAAGGCTTTCTGGAAATCTAAGTACACCATGTCTACTGGATCCCCCTTGTCCACATGTTTGTTGACCCCTTCAAAGAACTCTAATAGATTAGTAAGATGTGATTTCCCTTTACAGAAACCATGTTGACTTTTGCCCAACAATTTATGTTCTTCTATGTGTCTGACAATTTTATTCTTTACTATTCTTTCAACTAATTTGCCAGGTACTGACGTTAGACTTACCAATCTGTAATTGCTGGGATCACCTCTAGAGCCCGTTTTAAATATTGACGTTACATTAGCTATCTTCCTGTCATTGGGTACAGAAGCTGATTTAAAGGACAGGTTACAAATCATAGTTAATAGTTCCGCAATTACACATTTGAGTTCTTTCAGAACTCTTGGGTGAATGTCATTTGATCCCGGTGACTTGTTACTGTTAAGTTTCTCAATTAATTCCAAAACTTCCTCTAATGACACTTCAATCTGTGACAATTCCTCAGATTTGTCACCTACAAAACTAGTAAAACTGTTTTCTCTCTACTGTTTCAGGGGAAATAAATACATACAGATGGAATGTCCCAGAAAGGTCAGGTCCGGGTTCTTCTGATCCAAACTGCATCAGTTGGGTTTATTATTCAACAGTGAATTTTGTCAAGGTAACTGGGAAGTAGTAACTAAAGGTTGTTATTTTATGTATGGCTTCCTAAACTGGAGCTGGATCCTGCAAACCTTTACTCACTACTTGTGTGAGGTATCAGGGGTAGCCGTGTTAGTCTGGATCCACAAAAACAATAAGGAGTCTGGTGGCACCTTAAAGATTAAAAGATTTATTTGGGCATAAGCTTTCGTGGGTAAAAAATCACTTCTTCAGATGCATGGAGTGAAAATTACAGATGCAGGCATTATTATACTGACACATGAAGAGAAGGGAGTTACCTCACAAGTGGAGAACCAATGTTGAGAGGGCAAATTCGATCACTCGAATAGCCACTCCCAGTCCCTAATCAGGCCCAAATTAATGGTATTAAATTTTCAAATGAATTTTAGTTCTGCTGTTTCTCTTTGAAGTCTGTTTCTGAAGATTTTTTGTTCAAGTATAGCTACTTTTAAATTTGTTATAGAATGTCCAGGAAGATTGAAGTGTTCTCCTACTGGCTTTTGTATGTTTCCATTCCTGATGTCCGATTTGTGTGTATTTATTCTTTTACGTAGGGACTGTCTGGTTTGGCCAATGTACATGGCAGAGGGGCACTGCTGGCACATGATGGCATATATCACATTGGTAGATGTGCAGGTGAATGAGTCCCTGATGATGTGGCTGATGTGGTTGGGTCCTCTGATGATGTTGCTGGAGTAGATATGGGGACAGAGTAGGCAACGAGATTTGCTACAGGGATTGGTTCCTAGGTTAGTGTTTCTGTGGTGTGGTGTGTAGTTGCTGGTATTTGCTTCAGGTTGGGGGGCTCTCTGTAAGTGAGGACTGGCCTGCCTCCCAAGGTCTGTGAGAGTGAGGGATCATTTTCCAGGATAGGTTTTAGATCGTTGATAATGTGCTGGAGAGGTTTTAGCTGGGGGCTGTACGTGATGGCTAGTGGTGTTCTGTTATTTTCCTTGTTGGGCCTGTGCTGTAGTAGGTGATTTCTGGGTACCCATCTCGCTCTGTCAATCTGTTTACTCACTTCCCCAGGTGGGGATTGTAGTTTTAAGAATGCTTGATAAAATAGCGGAACTAAAATTGATTTGCAAATTTAACACCATTAATTTGAGCCTGAATAGGGACTGGGAGTGGCTGGCTCATTACAAAAGCAGCTTTGCCTCTCCTGGAATTGACACCTCCTCATCTATTATTGGGAGTGGACTACATCCACCCTGATACTTGTGTGAGGACTACTGGCATGAGGAAGGTTTTAAAGGACTGGGTAATTCATGCTTTTGAAGATGACAGCTGATGAGTAAGGCTATGTTTTAGTCACAGGTATTTTTAGTAAAAGTCATGGACAGGTCACAGGCAGTAAACACAAATTCATGGCCTGTGACCTATCCATGACTTTTATTAAAAATACCTGAGATCAAAACTTGGGCAGGGGGCGGGGGGTGCTCAGGAGGGGAGGGTCTGGAGGTACTGTGGGTACTGGGGGGAGGTTGGAACATGGCCAAGGACCCCACTGGTGCTGGGTGGGAGGGTTGGGGGGGCTGGCAGGGGCTCCCTACCCGGCTCCGTGTCCCTGCAGTTCCTAGGCAGCGGAGGGGCGCAAGCGCCGGCTTCCACAGCTCCCATTGGCCAGGAGCTGCAGCCAATGGGAAATGCGGGCACAGGGCCTGTGGGCGCGGGCAGCGCACGGTGCAGAGCCCCGCCCTGGCCCTTCTTCCACCTAGGAGCTGCGGGGCCATGCCAGTGGGAGCCCTCCACCCCAAGGTAAATGCCCCCCCCCGCACCCTCCTGCCCCTAGCCCTGAGCCCCCTCCCACACACCCAAACTGCTGCTGCTGCAAAAGTCACCGAGGTCACGGAAAGTCATGGAATCCGTGACTTCCGTGACCTCTGTAACAGACTCGCAGCCTTACTGATGATGCATGAGTAAGGCCAAATTCGTCTCCATGTACAGTCCATTGAAATCAGGGGAGTTACATCAGGACTAAATTTGGTCCTTTTCAAGGAAAACTTTAGGGCAGTTTGGGTGGAGGTGTGACCTTTGCTTTACTTCATGAAAATCCTTAGAAAGTCATTGTTACCATGTTAGACTTTTGAGTCGACTAAATGCAGCAACAGACAGGCATAAATAGCACACAGAATCATACGCGCCGACTTGTGCTCCTGCTGGTGGGTGCTTGACCCACCTCTGCCCCTGGCCCCACCCCGACTCCACCCTTTTCCATGAGGTCCCGCCCCCATTCCAACGCCTTCCCCAAAGTCCCCACCCCAACTCCGCCCCCTCCTTGCCCCTATTCCAACTCCTTCTCCAAATCCCTGCCCCGGCCCTGCCTCTTCCCCACCTCCTTCCCTGAGTGCACCACATTCCTGCTCCTCTCCCCGCCAGCTCCCGGAGCAGCCAAACAGCTGTTTGGCGGCAGCCGGGCAGGAAGCGCTGGGTGGTAGGCGGAGGAGTGGGGACGCGGCGCGCTCAGGGAAGGAGGCAGAGGAGGAGGTGGGGCAGGGAGGAGGAGAGCTTGGCTGCCGGTGGGTGCAGAGCACCCACTAATTTTTCCCCCTGGGTGCTCCAGCCCCAGAGCACCTATGGAGTCAGCGCCTATGCACAGAATACATGAAGCCAAGAGGAAGAAGGGCTTGTGGTTTACTGATTAGTAATCAGATGGAAATTTGGATTCCCAGTGCAGACGATCCCCATTCTCCTTTCAGCACCTTGACCCTGTTGCATGGCAGGGGTTGGATTTTCAGAAGAGCTTAGGCACCATTTAGGCACCTTGATGAAGTGGTTTAGGACTCAGAACCTCTCAATGCTCTTGTGAAATTCTGTCTCTTAGGCTGTGTCTACAATCAGAAGTGTGACTGCAGCTAACTGGCTCAAAGAACAATAGCAGTGAAGCCACAGCAGCACAGGCTAGCGGCTCAAGTACGTACCCAATGTCCCAGGTGGGCTCGTACAGCGTGTGCTGCCACAGTTTCACTACTGTTCACTAGCTCAGGAATGTCTTTGGGTGCTGCAGTCACACCTCTGATTGCAGTGTAGAGAGAGCTTTGATTCTTTTGAACTGATGTGTGCTCCACATGCAGATATCTCCAGGCATTCTTGCCTGGCTCTCCCATGTGCACATTGAATTGAAACAAAATTGGATAGTAAAAAACTGGGTAGTAGAAAACTTTATTATCCATTTTGGGTGTGAGGAATGGAAACTAGATTTTTCATTTACTTCTTACAAGATGGTGGCAGTTACAACTCCTGGAGTTGGAATAATTATTTTTATGTCTATTATTTAAAAGGTTTTATAAAACAGAGATAAATTGGAAGTTTGAGTTTATAGTAGAAAACTATGTTACAGTCCTGACTGTGAAATATAATGCCTGAACTCTAGGAAGCATAGTCATTGTCAGTCATTTCTTTATCCCATGGGAAAATATAAGGTTCTGCTCTAACTGATATATATTATATCTGTATTTATTTCTCAGTTATGTTATGTGAACTATCAACAATTATTAATTTAACCATAGCTCAATGTTATAGTTAATAGCAATATTATGTACTGTGTATAATGTCTTTTTTAAAATCTAATTGCAGGACACTTACAGTGGTTTGGTTGGGCCGCTAGTAATTTGCAGAAAAGGAATACTAAATGAAAAGGGTTTAAGGAGAGAGATTGATCGTGAATTTGCTCTTCTGTTCATGGTCTTTGATGAAAATGAGTCCTGGTATTTGAATGAAAATATTGAAAAGTATCTGCATAAGTGTCCTGATGACTTTAATCACACCGAGGACTTTCTGGAGGGTAACATCATGCATGGTATGTAGGTTTCATTGGTGGTAGCAGCAGTTTATCCAAGAGACTAATGAATTCTTTTTTTTTTAATATAATCCTTTCAGAAAACTGTCAAATTGGCTTGCAATTACACAATCTTGCTGTACAGTCTTCACAAATGAAGTAGACCAGGTCATTATTGGGCTGGATGGCTACTAAGGAATGAAGGTGCATTCTGGGCGTCAACAAACCTGGAATCATCCAGCAGACTTTGGAGGACTTTGAAAGAAGTTTTCTTAAGAGTTAGTGCTGAATGGCTCAAGACCCTGATAGCTGGAGCATTCAGATATATATTCTTGGTCTTGGGTCACTCGTTAACTTTGTTTTGCAGTTTTTATTTAAGGGCCAAATCCTCCTCCACCACCCTTGTGAGAGTTCTCAGGGCAGAAAAATCAGCCAAACTATCAGTGTTTGTGGAGAGGCCATTCCATAACTTCCTGTTATTGCAGAGTTGTGCTCCATGTTGGCATACTTTGCAACAGCATGATCATGACGTTTGGGAACTGGGGGCCAAGTGGCAAGAACCGACTGGCCAAACCTCTGGGTGGGGGAGAGAACAGACTGGATGCTGTAGTACCAGCCATAGAAAAGCCAAGTTTGTGTTTCTGCACATTACTCCCAGTTGGAATGGGATTCCATCCCCACATCCCCCACGTAGGTCCCCTGCACAAAGCCCACTCACTAAGCACTTTATATTAAGACAGGTTAAAACTTGCCTTCTGCATTGCAAAAACTGCTTATGGTGCTGTGTTGAAATTGAAACGCAAACTGTCTCTTTGCCTGTAACCTTTGAGATGTGAACAACAACTTTAGGAATCCTTTACATTTAAAGGCCTGGGTCTGATTCTCCACCTTCTTGTTTCTTGTGCAGCCATTTGCACTGTTGCAAAGTGACCCTGATTCACCACTTTGTTACTTGTTTTATGCATCCAATGAAGTGAGCTGTAGCTTACGAAAGCTTATGCTCAAATAAATTGGTTAGTCTATAAGGTGCCACTAGTACTCCTTTTCTTTTTGTTTTATGCTGGAATAACTCCATTGGATTTAAATAGACTTACATTGGTACAAAACTGGAGTAATGCAGTTATGAATCAGGCCCAGTGAGTGAAAAGTGGGTGTAAAACACTACCAGTGACCTAAGTGAGGGCAGAAGTCTGATTTGGTAATGTTTTACTTCCCATTTTCACCCACTTCACACAGATGTAAGTAATGATTCATGGCAATGGAAAACTCAGTCCTTGGTCTCTGCAAAGAGAAAGCAAGAACAAGTGTTTCTCTTCAGCACCCTCAGCATTCTGTCTCTTTATTCGGCACATTTAGTCCATTAGTGTGAATCACTCTCACTTTGTACTTCTTTCAGCAATTAATGGAAGGGTCTATGACAATCTCCATGGGCTAACAATGAAAGAAGGTGCAAACACAAACTGGTACTTGATAGGAATGGGAAATGAAATCGATATCCATACAGTCCATTTCCATGCAGAGACCTTCATCTTCAAGGTTGGTAAAATCTTTACTTTGCTGTGTGGGAGGTTTAGGTTGGATATTAGGAAAAACTTTTTCACTAGGAGGGTGGTGAAGCACTGGAATGGGTTACCTAGGGAAGTGGTGGAATCTCCTTCCTTAGAGGTTTTTAAGGTCAGGCTTGACAAAGTCCTGGATGGGATGATTTACTTGAGGATTGGTTCTGCTTTGAGCAGGGGGTTGGACTAGATGACCTCATGAGGTCCCTTCCCACCCTGATATTCTATGATTCTACATTTTGATGGAAAACTTTTGCAAAAACTTCTAGCTTCTAGCCTGATCCCACAGCCTTTGTACACACACACATACCGTACTGTTGTCAATGGGAGATTTGCATGTGAATACTGCAGAATTAGTTAGAATTTTGTAAAGCTCATGGTTCGTATGCCTTTGTATGGTAAAATATAAATGAATATCAATAGCTAAGGTATGTATGTACTACAGGACAATAGAGGATGGTTTACACAAATTGAAGTCAGTGGGAATTTTACCTGCTTATTCTAGGGTTCAGTGAAGCCTCGTGTTCTGTATTTATGTGTTGAAAGAACTATTTAAAGAGCTTGATTTAAAACAAATACCATTGTGTGGTGTTTTAGGGCATCATTGATACTGCTAATGTAGCACGTGAAATCATTTGTATTAATCTGTATTGCTCCGGGGCCCCATCCTCATTGGGCTAGGCACTGTACAAACACATAACAAGGACAGCCTTGCTCCAAAAAGCTTACAGTTTAGTCAGAACATGAATGCATTGTTTCAGGTGTAGTAACGGAAGTCTTCATGATGCTGTTTTGTCCTGCCCCAGACAGATAATGATCACAGAGCAGATGTGTATGACCTTTTCCCTGGGACGTTTCAAACAATCGAACTCATAGCAGATAACCCTGGAACATGGCTTCTGCACTGTCACGTAGCTGACCACATTCATGCTGGCATGGAGACAACTTTTACCATCAGCAAATCAGGTATAGTATTTGAAAATGCCATTTCGTGACTGTGCGCTGTATTACAGTTGTTCAGATAAACGGCAGATGGGTAGAAACATAAGGCTTGGATCAGCACTGCCAGTGTAGGGATCTGTAAATTACTGTATGCTTCCATGCTCCATCAATGTCTGGTTCCAGGGAGCGGACCTACACTGCAGTGTGAACAGGCAGTGTTATCACTGCTGCTTTCTGCAGATTTTAAACCTCTTGGAGATCCCACAAGAGCTCCTCGAATGGGTAGTGCTTGAAGGGAACCACTCTTGGGATTGTGCTGATGTTATATCTCCTGTAGGTGGAACTGAAGTTGCTTTCTGTCACCATAACCTGCTCCTGCAACAAGTCTTACCACCAGGGATTATCACAAGAGTTTCTGCTAGCCTAAACCAGATAAGCAACTAGTGAATATGGCGCATAAAGTGTTAGAAATTAGAGATGAACAAGATCTATTAGATCACGCAAAAGTGAGATCTAAGACTGAGCTCTATGGTAACCCAGTTAGCTTCCTCAGCTTCTGTTGAAGTCAACTGAAGATGTAGGTGCTCAGTACTTAAAATCAGGCACCCGGGCCCAGATATACAAAGGTATTTAGATACCTAACTTCCATTGAAATCAGTGGAAGCTTGGAGCTTAAATACTTTTGTGGACCTGGGCCCAGGTGTCTCAAGTTGGGGTCCCAGAAACAGAGGCACCAAAAATTAATGGACACATGACAATTTTAAGCATTACTGCAGCCCTTAAAACTAGGGAGTATTTTATACTGGATTGAGTGTGGCTCTTTAATTAGAGCAGGGGATTGTTAGAGTAAGTTACGACTCCTGTGAATAAGGCTGGCAGAATCGGGTCCTCAGTAACTGGAGTCTTTTGAGCCTTTCTGAGGAGAATCCCTGTAAATGCACAGCACTATCTTTATGTCAAATGGGAGGAGGCGCAGCTTCAGTACATTGTACTTCTGCTCTAAAGTCATACTCTTTTAAACGCCTCTTTACACACATTAATAGCCTATTTTTATAAATCATTGTCACAGCTTATGACACAAAGTGATTGTTCTGGAATGTTGACTTCATACCTGGCAAATGTAGCCTAAATGTCAGTCTGATCAAGCTCTCATAAGGTGTGGTACAAGTTCATCCAGTGTTGGCCTGGGCTGTTAGCACAGCGAAGAGTTGCCATTTGACTGTGTACGTCAGCTTTGAGTTTTGGAATCATCCTTAGGTAGATGCTGAGATCCTAGAGTTGTGGCTAGACTGAGAGCTTCCTGTTTAAACACCAATAGAACATGGTACATTTAGCTACTAATGGGAGCTGTTGTATGTTGATTAGGCTGACTGAAAATTTATTGTCAAAACTGTTTTTTTTATGGAAAATTGGGGTTTTGACTAAATTAATTTTTTTCGAGGTATCTGTTTTACACAGAAAAGTTCCGTTCTTTTATCGACAAACTGAACACCTGTTTTCAGTCAAACATAAAAATATTTTTATTCTGAAATGCTGCTGCACTGCCTCATGGGAATTGTAGTCCAGCTGCTTCATGCTCCCATTGTCTGTGACCCTGGGGGGTTTTCCTGCCAGACTTCATCCACCATATTGTACCATGGCAAGGTGACTTTTATGAGGCACTGTCTCCCCTCACCTAGAAGGGATACCGAGGTGCATCATGGAAGATGTAGCCCAACCAGGTAGCCCAGCATATAGAGGAGAATGAGAGCATGAGGCACTCTAGGGGCATTTTAGAATTGAAATGTTTTGGTGCAGGGACAAATTAGTGTCAAGTTACTTGCCCAAAACTTAAAACTTTCCACAGGAGGAAAAAGCAAATATTTTCCAACCATCTCTAGTGTTGAGCTTCTCTGAAAATATAGCCCTAAAGAAAAGCTGTCTACTCTTTAAAGGCTGTCTTAAAACAAAAGAAAATTAGAAAAAATGAAGTAAAAACCTATAGCAAGTGAGCTGGAATAACTGGGGAGGGTGATGAAGAATATTAGATACAGACATTGGACCCAGTCCTGCCAGTGAATAATGCCCATTGATTCCAGTGGGAATTGTGAGTACACAGCTCATGCAAAAGCAAGCCCATTTAATGCATGTTGTGCTTGAGAGATTTTCCCATCAAGTCATTTGGAAATCTTACACGCGGAGAACATTTTCATTTCATTTCTGGTAAAAAGACAATTTATAAACTCTTCTCAGGGGGCACATTCTTACATGGAAATATGTTTATCAGGCAAATCCTGCCCACAGCTGGGGTAATGATACTGTGCTCTGGGAATGTCCACAGGGGCTTGGGAAAGAAAGTCTCCCCTGACCAGGTGCTCCACAGCTGCTACAGCACATTCAGTGGCTCCTGTACCCCTCCTCCGTAGGAGATGGAGGAATACACAATGGATTTTGCCAATAGCAATTGTAAGGGTTAAGCCGAAATTCCCCTTCACTGTCGAATGTGAATCCGTTCTGTAATTTGCACTTATTCTGGGTGTGAAACTTCTATTGATCTGAGTGAAAGCATGCAGAACTAATGCAACAGAGATCTCTGCTGTTTATAAGTCAGAGCTGGCAACAACAAGGGCTGGGTTCAGTATCTAGGGGTTCCTTTTCAACAATACAACACAAAACGGTCTCGAGCCCCCACCCAGTGACCTGGGACAATTACACACCACGCCCTGGGTGCCTCTAAGAGGCAATATTTCCTCTCTCGCAAGCACAGAGTCTGAGTGTAGCAAAAAAATAAAATAAAATAAAAGGAGGGAAGTAACTCAGCATTAAATTGGGGAAGCACCGCAAACAGGGTTCATAAACATAGACCATGAGCAAAAGACCCAACCCCAGGTAAGTTGGGCAGTGTCCTTTTCTCCTCAGGTTCTTAAGTCCAACAACCCAAAAGTCCCTTTAACATGCCCATCCCTTCTCTGCACCCCACTCACAGTTGCTGTCCTTGGTCAGCGCAGGCTCAGAGTTCAGAGGTGCATCTGCAGAGTTCACCTCCTGCCCTGATTGGAGTGGGAGGGCAAGGAGGTACTTTACATGCTCTGCTGCTCAGGCACTCACGCACTACCTCTCTCTGCCAGCTGCTCAATCACCAAGCCTCTCTGGAGGGCTCTGCTCTGGCCCTCTCCACCAGCCACTCTGCCAATCACTGCACCTCTCCACCAGCTACCCTGCTGGCCATCACCAAAATGTCTTCACAGCCCACCACTTAACACAGCTCTCAACGATTGCAATTCTTGGTGAGGGACCCTCACTGCTGTTGTACACTGAGCAGTCTCTTGCATCAGAGACACTATCCCAAAGCAGATCTAATACTTAGACCTAGATATCAGTGATTTCAGTTCTGCAGCATGTAACAAGACTCTCAAGTAAATCTAAATTAGCTCTTTTATTACATAATGGAGAAAAGAACAGTCAAATAATATCAATGGCCACTAAGCAAGGCCCACACCACCAGATACAAATGTCTATATCCACTTTTTCTTAACTCACTGGGCTGTGGAACCCATGTCCCCTACCTAGTGAGTGCCATTTAGTTCAGGGTGACTCCATCCATAGGGCTATGCCAAGTACAGTTCTGCTGTCCTCGATTCAAGCAAAGATAACAACCCTTTATTACTCCTGCCCCAATAACAAGGGGACTGGGGATCCAACACCAGCCAAAAGTGATCATTTGGGCAAGCAATCCCATCATGCTGAGCACCCAGGCTCACCTAGATCAGCTACTGAAGTCCTCTTCCTGCTTACATAAGAAAGGGAAATTTTGCCCTTAAAACTATCCAACTACCCTTGAGCTCTGCACGAAATTTTGTTGGCCTAATCAGAAATTCTATTTGAGTTACCCACGTAGAATAAATGACGCATTCACTGTTTTTTCAGACCACTAAAATCTGCTGCTTTATCCTATTTTCAGCCTAGGTAAGCTTTAATTTTTTTACACAGACAACAACGTTCCTTTAGAAGGAGGAGTAACAACCACAGCATATGACTCAATTAATGTAAAACACCAGGATACTGTAAAGGGTATGGATCCATTTTATTTAAATAATATAAACTTAAGCCGCTGGGTGTACAGACTTCTCATACGCTATTTCTCGTTTTGACAGGTGGTGACAGAGAAGGAATAAAATTCTTAGGCAAAGCTCTGGGTGCAGGAGAAGCTAGCTCAACACTCATAGCCCTTTTTTCTGTTGGACTTGTTCTTCTGGCAACAGTATTAACCCTCATCATCCTCATCACTTGTCAGAGAAAAAGGACATACTACAGGTCTGTGCAACCCCAGTGTGCGCTCCCAACTGATTCCCTGTAAATCTGTATTTTGGGGACCATTTCTAGAGCTCTGTTGGATTTCATTGTATATTGTTGGTATATTTGAGGCAAGATATATGTTTGTGAAGTTTACAAAGAGAGAGCCCAATCCTGTAGCCATAAGTCACGTGTGACACAGACTGCAGGCTTAGGACCTGATGACCGTACACTGCTTGTCTTTGCAGCCTGATTCTGCTCTGTTGAAGTCAGTGTGAGTTGTGCCATTGAATTCAATGGGAGCAGGCTCAGACTTAGGGCTAGTGTACACTAGAAGTGCTACATCGGCACAGCTGCATCAATGCAGCTCTGTTGCTGTAGCGCATCTGGTGACGATGCTCTATGCCAACGGGAGAGCGCTCTCTTGTCGGCAGAATTACTCCACCTCCGTGAGAGCTATGTTGGTGGGAGAGCGTTTCCCACCAATGTAGTGTTACCTGCTTAATTTCAGGACACACCGGCGCTTAGATTGGTGTAACTTGCATCACCCGGGGGGGTGGCTTTTTCACACCCCTGAGCAACGTAAGTTATATCAACATAAGCAGTAGCGTAGACCTGCCCTTATATTTGAGAGGTCCCACTGATATCAATGAGATTGCTCACTTGAGTTAGGCAAGCAGGATTTGGCTCTGAGAGCTGATAAAATGCATTCGGCTTCTGATTCTTTTAATGCTGTAAAGTGTAGCCAAACAATATTATTTTTAGAATTTGAATTGAGTTGCGACTGGAGCAATGAGAAACTCAACAGGGTAGAGGGTTTATGCAAACCTTTTCTCCAGTTTCAGTTCATGTTCATTGTGCTTGGAGATTCTGGTTCAAATAAACAGTAAAACACACTGAGAAACCTAGTCAAACCCACAATAAAGCCCAGACATTTCTTTTTATGCAAACCTATTATTGGCCTTAGATTCCCTCAAAAGATGGACAAGCATCAGTGAACATGTTAACCCACCTGGGTTTACTTTCTAGGGCTCACTGGACTTCCCCTATAGTCAATGTGAGCAGGAGGAGGAGCCTGATCCAAAGCCCACTGAAGTCTATGTAAAGACTCTTATGGACTTCAATAGCTTTGGATCAGGCCACAGACAGTAACTCTTAATGAACCCAAAACAGGTGAGATTTGCATGGCCTTGGTTTTGTAATGAAAATTTTACACAGCTCTAATTTGCGGAATTACTCTCAAATATGTGTACAAACCTATTGACTTTAAAGAGATTTTAACAGAATCTGTGCTTAATTTGGTCCTGCGTATTACTTTTTATGCTCTCAAGTTCAGTACATCATCTTTGCGTTTCCACTGAGTGCAATGGGTTTGCATGGGTGTATGTGAGGGCAGAATTTGGCCCATAGCCTCTGTGATAAAACAGTTGCTAAATGGGATCTCTATTGGGTAGTGCTATGTTGAACTATTTTCAGTGTGCCAGATTCTGCGTGTGCTAGTGTAAATCTGGAACAAATCAATTGATTCACTGGAGATACTATGGATTGACACAATCTGAGAACAGAATCTGGCCCACTGAATCTACCAAAAGTTTAGGAGTTCTCTTCCTTTACCCTATTAAATGAGATTTCTGTTTGGGGGCCAAAATTTTAAAGGCTTTTAGGCATCTAATGATGCAGATAGGCATCTGGTATTTTTTTAAAAGCATTTAGCAGCCTAACTACCATTGAATTAGGTAGCAAGGTGCCTATCTGCATCTTTAGGTACCTAAATACCTTTAAAATTCTGGCCCCCAAAACACAGCAAAAATCTGGCCTTGGGTTACTAAAGAGAAAGTCATCTGGTTTTATAACTACTTCTTATTGTGGGCTTGATTCTGTGACCTATACTTACACTGAGTAGTAGCTTACTCCCTGATTTCAATGAGACTACTCAGGAAGTCAAGTACTTACTCAGGCCCGGTCTACACTGGGCAGGAGGGCGATCGATCTAAGTTATGCACCTTCAGCTACGTGAAAAATATAGCTGAAGTCAACATACTTGGATCTACTTACCGCGGTGTCTTCACTGTGGTAAGTACACGGCTGACACTCCCCCGTTGACACCGGTACTCCGCCGGAGTGAGAAGCGGAAGCGGAGTCGACGGGAGAGTGCTTGGCGGTTGATTTATCGCGTCTAAACTAGACATGATAAATCGATCCCCGCTGGATCGATCCCCGCTGTCGATCTAGCAGGTAATGTAGACAAGCCCTCAGTGTTAATAAGGGCGTAGAATCAGGCCTTATATATAGTGATACTTTAATGTTTACAGCTCATTTTGAATGACCTATTGTTTATTTCTGCCACAAGGATGTTCATATCACTTACAACCTTGGTGGATGAACTCCAAAACTAAAGCAATCTTTTATCTGTGAAATAATTTAACTGAGTTTGATTTTCAGCGTAAACTCGAGTTGGTGCATAATGTCATTTTTTCTCTTCTGTATTTAAAAATATGCTATGCCCTTGTAGGGAACTTTACCGACAGTCACTTTGAACATAGGTTAATGGTGTTCTGGATTAATGCCAAGATCACCAACAGATAAAAGGTGTTAAACAAAATCCTTGAGGTGTGGGGTATTTCTCAGTGTTTCCTTGATTCTTTTGTTTTCTTCTGGTTCTTTAAAAAGCAAAACAAAAAGCTTTCTAGATAAGAGGTCTGATCTTGCAACCATTACTCATTCAAGAAGTCCTGCAAGAACAATGACTTCTGTGAGTTAAAGTTACAGGACTGGGCTCAGAATTAGGATAGCAATTATAGTCAAAGCTGTTTTATCCGGCATGTTGGGGAAATGGGAGGTGCTGGTAAGTGAAAAATGAGGGTTAAATAAGAGGGAGGGAGTTTGGGTGTGGGAGGGGGGTGCAGGGCGCGGGCGCTGGGAGGGAATTTGGGTGCGGGAGGGGGCTCAGGGCAGGGGTTGGGGCATGGGAGATGGCTCAGGGCAGTGGGGTGGAGCACAGGATGGGGTGCGGGGTGCAGGGTGCTGGGTGCTAGATCTAGGGGATGCTCACCTCAAGCAGCTCGCCACAAGTGGCAACCTGTCCTGGCTGCTCGTAGGCGGAGACACGGAAGGCAGCTCCACGTGCTGCCTCCATCCTGCCCCGAGCACTAGCTCTGCAGCTCCTATTGGCTGGGAACCACAGCCAATGGGAGTTGCGGGGGCAGCACCTGTGGGCGGAGGCAGTGCACAGAGCTGCCTCCTGCACCTCCACCTAGGAGCAGCTGGGACAGGTCGCCGCTTGTGGGGAGCCACACGAGATGAGCGCCTCCCAGATCTGGCACCCTGTACCGCCTCCCATGCCCTAACCCTTTGCCCCGAGCCCCCTCCCACGCCCAAACTCCCTCCCAGAGCCTGCGCTCCACACCCCCTCCTGCGCCCCAACCCCCTGCCGTCTCCACGCCAACTGGACTATAAACCAGAATTTCACTGAGGATCAGAAATGCTGGTTTATAGAGCTTTCCAGCTGGTGAAGTGCCGGATAAAACAGCTTTTACTGTACATTGTACCACAAACACTCCTTCAATCATTACTTTTAAAGCTTCCTTTATAGCTGGCTAAACCTAATACCATTCAGGGAACCACAGACATTCTAAACACTAGTTTCTTTCCACTATGTAACCACTAGCATTGAGGTGTCTTGTTCTTTGTTAAATACTATTCATGTGTCCAGAATTCTTGTGTACTATATACAAATAGAGTTAAGGCTTTCACCCATCATGCACCATAAATAAATCAACATTATTTTGGTATTTTTATTTCTGTTTTCCGTATATGTGTTTGATGTTTAAAACAGAATAATAAAATATCTGAATGGTATAATTTAGCCTTTTATATAAGGTTTAAAATTTTAATGTATTAATAATAAAACAATTACCATTTGTATGAACCTTCTGACAGCTTCTTTAATACAGAAACTCTTTTTTATTTGAATTGGGTGGTTGTGGTGGAACAGAGATGAGGTATTCCAAAATGTCTTCAACATAACTGCAAAGCTTCATGCTGTTAGTGTACCAAACATTATAGTTTCACTGTTACCTTGTCCTTCCCCACTTTCCCTCCCTGCTTATTTTTTCTCTCTCACCATATGCTAAGAGTGTAAGCTTTTAGTGGCAGAGTCTGACTTTTTATTGCATGTGTGTACTGCACCTAGCAATATAGGGTGCCCCAATTTTCTCCAGGAGCTTTGTTAGAATAGCATAGCATTCTCACTTCAGATGCAAATCCCAAACAAGCCCTCAAGGACAGCAGGTCTCCCTGTACCTTCAAATTTTAGGCTGAATATCCGGAAAATGTTTTAATGCTAAGTTCTGTCAAACTTTAGGAAGAAGCCCCTCTCACCAAATCATTTATAGCTGAACTGGAGAATATTTATTTACCTATTCATTGTTTAGCTTGTGGTAATACCCAAAATGTGCTAGGCTCTTTCCAAACAAAAGCAGAGATAGATACCATCCCTGCCTTGTAGTGGATGCTACAATCCTACACTGACAAGGAGGGTGGGTTAGCTGTCTTGTTAGGATCTTGATCCCACAAACATTCTGTGTGTGGAACTTCAGTTGAAGTGAATAGGGTTCTGCATGCCAGAGCACTTGACATCTTGGTCATTTTCATCATTAATTTCTGAGATTTTTATTATATGAAAGTGGGTTGCCCCTTAAAAATCAATGAACCGGTAACACATGCAGTCTGGTTCCATTGCCTCCTGGGCCCTCTGGCTGTGCAGAAAGCAGGAGTTATCCCATAAAAACAAGGGAAAGGAGTTCACTGGATTCAATCCAAAAACAAAAATTCCCACAGAAAGTTAGTGGACCTTTGAAGCCAGAGATCAGATGGTTTAGATGGGAGAATTTTCTTTTCTCTCCCTGTACAAATAAGATATTAACATTCAGTCATAGCTAGTTGCCATTCCACATACTTTCTACTGGGTATTACAGGCTGGAGAGTAGCCAGGTGGCAGTACAAATACAGGATGCAACTTG